AGAAAGAATCGGACAATATTTGGGAGTGGGGGAGGCAGTTTAAATAGAGCCGTATAACGAACCAGGGTCAGCGGGAGAACATCTTTTGTGAACGTTGCGCGACACGTTGCCTTAGGAGGGGAGATATTTTCCATTTCCCTGGCGGAGGGGCAAAACAAGAGCAAGCGGCAGGGCAAGACAGTTGCTTCAGGAATGTGAACCTCCCGCAATTTGTTGCCAAAAAGGCCTTGACGCACCCGGTGCTGCAGGGGTGGCATTACCGGCGCCGCGTGCCACCGCCTTGGCATACTGCAGCGCGCACTTTCCGTCGTCAGCACGCAGCCTTGTATCCGCGCCCGCCCGCAGCAGGCGGAGCACGATGGCGGGATGGCCATAGATGGCTGGGTACATCAGCGCGGTGTAGCCTTTGCTAGCCTGCAGGTTGATCTCCGCGCTGTGCCGCAGCAGCACCTCGACCACCGGCTCGTGGCCGTCGCGGGCGGCGAGCATCAGTGCGGTGACGCCGTCGTTGGCCTGCGCGTTGACCTCCGCGCCATGCTGCTGCAGCAACTCGACCACCCGCTCGTGGCCGTTGGAGGCCGCCCACATCAGCGCGGTGCCGCCGTCGCTGGCCCGCAGGTCGAGTTCCGCGCCGCCCCGCAGCAAAAGCTCTACCACCCGAACCCAACCGCGTCCAGCGGCGGCCATAAGCGCGGTGCCGGCGCCTTCACCACTCTGCTCGTTGATCTCGGCGCCGCGCTGAAGCAGCAGATCGACCACCTGCTCGTGGCCGTGGCCAGCGGCGACCATCAGCACGTCCTCCGCATTCGCCTGCCCGCCGCTGTTCAGCCACTCCCGCAGCACGTCCACGTTGCCGGATTTCGCCGCCGTCATGATGCTTGCCGGCGCGACACTCTTGGTCATGTTGCTATGCTGTGCACTCTGGGCGTCTTGCGTCGGCAGCGGACACCGCTCCTCGCAAGCTGCCACACTGGTACCTGCCTCTGTGGGGGGCCGTCGAGCTGCATGCGAAGCTTCTCGGTCAGAGAGGCGAGAATTTCGAGAAAACTCCAAGTCCTCCAAACTGCCCCCTTCGAGCCGTGGTTCTCTCGAGGTTCTCGAGGTGGATATCCTTTGGCCGCGTTGGGTAGCGAGGAGTGGTGTAACCCGAGCCACGGAGGCGTGTTTTCTGACGGCCGACCGTCAGTGCACGGAGTTGCCCCTTCTCCGACTGCCCCGGCTAGTTCACGGGTTTCGCGGGAGTGACCCCATGCGTCAAACCCGAGACCTAGCGCGGGTGGGTTGGAGGGGGCTCGCCCCGTTCCTCCCCCGCGGGTTTGGAGTTATGCTTTGGCACAGCTTCGGCGATGGCCTCGGCCTCTCTGGGGCTTGCATAGGCGGGGAGTCTCCCCCGCTGGTCTCCTCCTTCCGGTTTTTCTTTTCTTTTGAGCAGGTGTGCCGCTGCGCGGCGCTCGCGCGGCGGCGGTGTGTGTGTGTGGGGGGGGTGGGGGGTGGGGGGGCTCGGGGGCACGCAGGGCAGAGGCAACGGTCATCGGCTCGTCGAGGTTGGAGAAGGGGAGGGGGGATGGGCGGTCGGCGAGGGGGTCAAGCCGTTGACATTTTGGCTCATGCGCGTGCTCTCCCTTTTGCTCGCCCTCCCGTCGGCGGCCGGATTGGTTGGGCCGGAGCTGCTGAATCGGCTCGGGCCGGCGCGAGGGGTGGTGCCTGCGCCCTCCAGAAGGCGCGCCCACGTCGTCCAATGCCGCACCGAAAGGTGTGTTCCGACAAGCCGCAATGGGGCAACATGACCTGGTTTGAGCTCCCAATTTCGCAGCGAAAGGTGTGCATCGAGATTCAGCAACGGGACAAGTCCTTCAGGCCAACGCCAATCGCAATCGTTTCGCAGTTGGGGCGAAGTTCGGTCTTCCTAGAGCTGAGTAGGGGGCTTCTGGCCACCCCTTCACCCCTCGGCTGAGCTAGCCGCGATAGCATAAAAATTTACACTGGAAATCGGCCATTGCCAGCGAGCGATGGGTGCTCATGTGAGCGTTTTATGCGCGATGACACAGATTGTTGCGCTTCATAATATTCACAATGTATCGGGGACACTTTGTGCAAGTGGCAGAAAATTCGCTTAGCTGCGCGGCCTGGGAATAGGTAGGTAGGTGGGGCACGGAGCCTGGCGGTCGGCGCCCGCAATAGGTAGGTAGGTAGGGCGTTTTGGCGCGACTCAGGAGACCCCCTATCTGGTTGGAGCCGGAACCCAGAGGGCGTGTGTAGCCTGGAGCGTGTTCACCGTTGCGCGATGGGGATGGAGGCCGCGGCGACGGCGAGGACGGTGGCGGCGACTGTGGCGGCGGCGGCGGTGGCGGTGGCGGTGGCGATGGTGGTGCCGGCGGTGGCGGTAGTCGTCGTCGTCACAAGACGCGCACCTGTGTCCACTGCGGAGGCGTTGCGCGCGCCGTCGGTGCACATGAGGCGCCTCACCCTACTTCTCTTCGCCATGGCCACGCTCGCAGCAGCTGCTCGCACACCTCCGCGCCATCGCCACGCTCTGTCGGATGCCGCCGCCACTCCGCCGCCGCTGCGAGGTGCCTATTTGCTGCTGCGAGGCGGCGCGGTGAGCGGCACCGACCCGACGGCGGCTACTTTGCTCCTCGTCGCGACGTGGTACGGATCCTCGGTCTGCAGCAGCCTCCTTGCATACGAGCTGGTCGCCGCCGCTGGGCCGGAGATGATGACGCTCTGCCACTTTGCCGGCTCCGCCTGCTGCGGCGCCGCGGTGCTGCGGCTGGGAGGCCGCAGCGGCAGCATCGGCTTCGCGTCGCGGAGGCAGCTGGTCGACACTGCGGCGCTCTCCGCCTCCTTCCTCGCCGGCTGCTACACGATGAACTCCTGCCAGGCGTCAATGCACCTCTCGCTCGCCCACGCCCTCCGCGCCTTTGAGCCGGTGACGACACTGCTCCTCACCGCCGCCTTCCTGCCTTCGGACACGCCCTCGGCGCGCCGCGCCGCCTGCCTCCTCCCCGTCGCGCTCGGCTGCGCCCTGTCCGCCGCCGGCGCGCACGGGCCCACCGCGCGTTCGCTCGGCCTTGTCACGGCCAGCAACCTCTGCTTCTCGCTGCGCGGCATCCTCGCGCGGCGCGTCAAGGCGCGGCACGGGACCGGCACCGGGTGCTCCTTTTGCAGAGCCTTCCCTGAGCCTTCCAGGAACTCCCTAGGCGCGGCACGGCACAGGGCCTGTGCTCCTCTTTTTCCAGATGAGCGCCTTTGGCGCCGCGGCGCAGCTGGCCCTGCTGTGCGCCCGCGCCGCCCTCTCGCCCGCCGCGGCGGCGGCGCTGCGAGGCGGCGCGGCGGCGCTACTGCGGCGGCCGCTCCCGCTGGCCACGGCTTGCGCCGCCTTCTACCTCCAGCTCCAGCTCTCTTTCGTCTGCCTCTCGCGCATGTCCGCCGTCTCGCACTCTCTGGCCAATTCGGTCCGAAGGCCGGTCACGATCCTCGCCGGGCTGCTCGTCGCGCCGGCGGCGCTGACGCGACTCAACTGCGCGGGCGTGGCGCTTGCGTGCGCGGGGGCGGTGGCGTACGGGGTGGTGTGAGAAATGGGAGGAGAGGGCAATTATGATTGTATACCGTACCACCAACGATGTGTGCGACGTGCGACGAGAAAACTCAGCGGACTAGGTCCAGCCCTGGGTGGCGCAAGATCTGACGTTTTGTATCTGTAAGTATAAAGATGAGAGTGAGGTTGAACCGGACCCAATCAAAGTCGGCGGGTTTCCAGGGGGGGGGGGGTATGACGAAAAACGGCGGGCGCATTTGGGCACATGACTGGGAGAACTCTGTGGTGGACCCGCTGGGCGAAAGGAGCTCGCAGACCGTTGCAGCCTCACGATGTCATTGAGCGGAGCGAGTGCGAGCGCGGCGGCCAAGCAGCGGCACCAGGAGCAGCGGCGAGCTGACACGAGCGCGCTCGTCGATGCGGCGAGGGGGCAGAGGCAGATGCCCGAGCTGCCGCCGTACGTGCCAGAATTTGACCTCGCGTTCATGTCTCAGATGCTGGGCGGTGGAGCCGTCCGGTCGGAGCCAGAAGACCCAGCCACTGGCGACGACGAGACGACGATGCAGGAGGCCGCCGTCGACATTGCCCTCCAGCTTTTCACGGATGACGGCGGGCTGCAAGCGCTGCTCGCATCTGATGAACCGAGCGCAGAGAGGGTTGCGCTGGAGGGCGCCGACAACGCGCTTGCAAACTCGCGTGCGAGGTTGGATCAGCTTTACGAACTGGTCAGGGCGAGCGAGGGAGGAGCGGCGGTGCGCCGCATGGGCGAGGCGCCGAAGGCGCCCACTCTGAAAACTCTGCTTCTCGGGTCCGTTGGCCTCTTTCGTAGGGAAGAATTTTGATACCCGTCAAGACGCCTGCTGGGGGCAGCTTTGCGATGAAGCCGTTTGTTCCCCCAGCAAGGCACACACAAGACAGATAGGAGGCGAAAGGGGATGGTGGTGGGTTCGACGAGGAGAGAGGGAGCGCGCACAGACTGACGTCAGCTCTGCTCCTGAAGGACACCTCTGAAAGACACCTTCAGAGGTGTGGTGCACCTCTGAGGCACCTCAGAGGAAACGCTGCACTTCTTTTATCGATCTCGTCGCCAGACTCCGATTTCTCTTTGTCGGGCCATGTGCCGCTCGCTCGTCCGCCCAAGTGACTCGGACGCGCGGTCGAGGGCACCCCACCGTTCCTGGGGCGCGCTGGCGCTCGCCCGCAATCGCCCCCCACCCATCCACCCTTTTGTCTTTGAGGCTGTCGCTCCGAGAAAACTTGTCTCGCAGCTGCGAGAAATTACCTTCTCGGGTCCGTTGGCCTCTTTCGTAGGGAAGAATTTTGATACCCGTCAAGACGCCTGCTGGGGGCAGCTTTGCGATGAAGCCGTTTGTTCCCCACTTGTCAACAGCAGGCGCTGGCGCCATTAACGTATCGGCGTTCTCCCACGTGATGTTGACCGGGTGGGCGGGTGGTCATGGAAGGTATTTTAAGGACAGTCACCCAGTCCGATGGAAGGTATTTTAAGGACAGTCACCCAGTCCGATGGAAGGTATTTTAAGGACAGTCACCCAGTCCGATGGAAGGTATTTTAACGTCAGTCACCCAGACGAATGGAAGGTATTTTAACGTCAGTCACCCAGACGAATGGAAGGTATTTTAACGTCAGTCACCCAGACGAATGGAAGGTATTTTAACGTCAGTCACCCAGACGAATGGAAGGTATTTTAACGTCAGTCACCCAGACGAATGGAAGGTATTTTAACGTCAGTCACCCAGACGAATGGAAGGTATTTTAACGTCAGTCACCCAGACGAATGGAAGGTATTTTAACGTCAGTCACCCAGACGAATGGAAGGTATTTTAACGTCAGTCACCCAGACGAATGGAAGGTATTTTAAGGACGTCACCTAGTCCGCAATGTGAGCAACCAAAGGAGGCAATGGATTGCGTTCCCGGGCGGCGCGCCGGAGGACGGCCATGTCCCGCATCACGTCGCTCAGCCGGGGCTTAAGCTCCTTGGGCCACTTGGTGCGACGCGTCCCGAGATCGGCGTGGGGCGAGGCCGGCAGCCCGCGCGCCGCCAGCCAGGCAGCCATCGCCGGTCGAGGGTCGTCCGCGAAGTACCGCGGTACGTGCCAGATGTGGGACGCCTCGTTGAGCGAAAGGGCGCGGAGGCCGGACTTATCGAAGGTCGGCTGGCGGGGGCCGCCTCCTTCCGTGATGCGGCGGTGGCGGTCCGGCTCCAGCTTGCGCGCCGCAGACCCCTGACCGTTGAGGTACATCGGCCAGAAGGGGAAGTCCGAAAAGAAGTCGTACCAGCCCTTGGCGTGGAGGCGGCGCAGCTCCTTCTCCACCGAAGCGAAGCCCTTCGGGAGCGAGGTCAGGTGCGGGACGAGGACCGTCTGTAGCTCCACGTCGGCGTCGAGCCGCGCGCCTTCGAGGAGGTTCGCCACGAGCGTCTGGTCCGGATACCCGTGTAGGCGGCGCCGGAAGAGCTCGAGGTTAAGGTCGGACTCGAAGGGCGCGTGGAAGTCCGCCACGACGCAACAGCCCTCGTGGAGCGCTCGGGTAGGCGGGCGGCAGTCCCACACCACGCCTCTGGCCCAGGGGTGCAGCTCCTCTTGCCCTATGGCGAGGGGGGAGGGCCGGCGCCGCTCGGCGAGGCTCTCGCCCGCCAGGGCCGCGCGTTGCATCGCGAGCAGGTCGTCCAGATTGAGCTGTAGCCAGTCGTAAACGCGCTGCCGGGTGCCCTCGGGCATCAGGTCGCCGACGCTGCGCGGGCAGTGGCCCTCGACTGCGCGCTGCAGCGGCGGTCGAGGGAGCCAAGGCGTCGAGGCAGGCTCCGGTACAAGTGAGAGCGGCACAAGGTCGAGCCGCTCGTCGTCGAAGGAGGGCAGGTTGGTGAGAAGACCGGGAGGGATCTCGCCCGTGTCGATCGGTCGGATGGCTTCACGCCATCCGCTCAGGAGGCTGTCCCAAGCCGCCTCGCCGAGGGCGCTCATCAGCTCAGAGTCGGCTGACACTAGCTGCGCGAGGGCGCGCCAGGAGGGCGGACCCAGCCCCGCACTCAGGGGCGGGCGGGTTAGCAGGTACTCCGGGGGCGTCTTGCCGAAGAGGAAAGATCGGCCGGCGGAGCGTCCCTGGGCGCCGAGGCGGGAGTCGGCTAGCTGCTGGGTCGGCCCGGCAAAGGTCTCAGCCGAGAGGATCGCTCGCGCTGCGGCGTCCTCAACAGGGCAGCCTCGGAGGGCGCAGAGCGTCATCCACACGAAGGCGGCGCCTGCTCGGGATGCCCTGAGGCGGCTCTGGGGGTCGCGGATGACTGCGGCCGGAGCCGGCCGAGCCGCGATGGGAGCAGCGAAGAGGCGGAGGCCGGCCAGGTACTCGCCCACCATGTACGCGAAGCACAGGGCCCCGGCCATCGTTCGCACTAGAGCTTGGATCGCAGTCATGCAGGCGGGTCGGGACTCGCGCAGCGGCATGGAGACGCCGTAGACGGAGTATCCGTTCACGTGCGCGTACACGAGGGGCTGGCCAACGACGCAGACGAAGATCAGTACCGAGGCAGCCTCGGCGGCGGATCGGAGGTCGATGGCGGCGAGGCCGCGCCCGCTCGGGCCATCAGCGCCGGGCCCTGGGCTCATCGGGCGCGGGCCGTCTACGTCGGCGGGGGAGTGCTCCGCGCCCGCCGCCCCCCGTGGGCCGAAGGCCGCGGCTTCCTCGCCCGCGGAGTCCCCACAGCGCAGGTCGTCGCCTGCGGCGTCGCGAGCGGTAGGCGGCGGTCCGTGGCCCTGACCGCGGACGGTCTGGTACTTGCGGGACGGGGAGTCAGGAGGCTGCGCATCAGGCGCGGCGTAGGCCGACGGTACGTGGTACCCCTGGGCCAGGAAGGCGGCCCGAAGGTGATCGACCTCCTGAGAGTAGATCGGCGCCGGCTCGTGCACGTGGGGGAGCACTGCAAGCGCAGCGAGCTGCGACGCCGTCTTGGGGAACTCAGTCCAGGCACTCCGGGCCCTGTCGCGCGCATCGGGGTTCGCGTAGGCGAACTGCGTGCGTCCCGGCTGGGGCCGCGCTCGGAGTCCGCGCCCATTGGGATCGAAGCAAACTGGCCCGACTCCGCGGACAGCCAGGCGGACGAACTTGTCTGCGGAGTCGCCGAGAGCCTCCGTCCGGAATTCATACAGACGGGTGTGCGCCGGGCGGCACAGGTCATAGACAATCGTGTCGGATGACTAGCAGCACTGCCGGGGGCATACGAGCCGCCACAGCCGGTGTGCGGCCGTGCACTGCCACCTGCCCGCGGCTACGCACAATGTGCGCTCGCATTGGATAAGCCCTGCTGATGGACCTGCATCGCCTAGCTGCACGAGAGCAATGCCGCAGGCAGTGGCCGTGGCATACACTGCGAGCACACTTGGTGCAGCTGCGAGGTGCAGCAAGAGCACGTCGTTCCTGCCTCTGATGCCACTCTCGCGGCTTGTAGCGCGTCACTTCGCGCATGCTCTCCAGGAGCTATGGCGGGCGCGTGTGTGGGGCTGTAGCCTGTGTTTGGCCGGTTCTGACCCGTTTACTATCAGTATCATGTCCGGGCCACAAAAAATCGCACACGGGTAGCGGCTCAGGGGCCCAGTAAGTCGCGGAATCGCCAAATGTCACAACCTGCGCCACCCAGGGCTGGACCTAGTCAGCGCGTTGTTCGCGCCTCTTCTCTCACCCAGATATAGAGATACGAATCGCAGACTTCACGGCAACACACCGTCAACGTAGAGTAATCCTCATCGCTCATGCCATCACATCACATGCCCATGGTATCTGACAGTTGACACAATCATCCCTCCTCCTGAACACAATCTCACCACCGTGCACATACGCTGACGTTCTAGACAAAATCCTCCATGTTGATCCCCTGCCGCTTCACGCCGCTGCGCAGCGCGTTCAGGTCGCCAAACACCAGCTCCGGGATCCACGCCGGAACCCCGAGCGCGTCGACCCGCTCCGCCACTCCCCGCAGCGGCGCCACGCACTGCGCCATCGCGTTCGCCCGGGCCGGCGGCGCGCGCGGCGCGTGCGGCGCGAGGAAGGACTCGACGCCAGCTCGGAACTCGGCCGAGCGGTACGAGACGCACATCGCCGCCACGTGCGTGTGGTTCCCCGCAACCTCGAGCTCGAGCGCGGCCGGCCCGAGCAGCTTCGTCCGGTCCGACTTGACCTCGCACACGACGTCAAACTCGTCGCGCGCGTAGCCCGCGAGGCTCCGCGCCGCGGCGCGCCGCACTGGGTTGCGCGACTTGAGCGCCGCGCTGATGGCCGCCGCGGCCGGGCTCTCGGGCGCCCCTTCCCCCTCCGCGCCGCCGCCACCGGCGGGCGGCGGCTCAATCACCTGCATCAGCTCCTCGCTCACGCTGCCAAACAGCTTCTTCAGCCACTCCTTGCGGCGCGAGCTCTTGACGACAAAGATGGCGGCCGAGCCGTCCGGGCCGGTGAAGCGGGGCAGCGGCTCCGTCCGCTCCATCCACTCGTTGAAGATGAGCTGCTGGAGGTGCCTCACGACGTGCAGCGTGCGGCTCGTCGTCTTGACGGCCGAGGCGAGCGAGCGGCCCATCGTCGGGAAGGCGCTCGCGACGAAGAAGCCGAGCGCCGCGTCGGGCAGTTGCCGCAGCTCGTCGAGCAGCTCCTGCGTCGACCGGTCCGCCGCGGGCGCCGCCTCGCCGACCGCCCGCGCCGTGCCACCGCCATGATGTACACGGCTGCCCTCAGGCTGCCTCGCCGCCGCCTCGGCGGTGGCGCGGATGAGGAGGCACGCCTCCGCCGCGTCGTGCAGGGTCACCTTGCGGCCCTGGCCTAGGTAGCGCATCCCTCGCGGGAAGGGGCCTGGCGGCGGCGGCTCAATCAGCACCAGCCGGCGGGGGTGGCCTCCCAGCCGCTGCGCGGCGAGGCCGATCTGGTGCGCGAGCGTTGCGCCGAACGAGGCGCCGATGAGGTCGAAGGGCGACACGCCGCGGTAGGCGAGCAGCTCGCGCGCATACGCGTCGGCGAGCTCGGCGATGGAGGACTCGACGCACTCCTCCTCGACGTCGGCGCCCTCGGACATGCCCGTGTGCCGCACCGCGAGCACCTCGCGGTCGCCAAAGCCGAGCGAGTGCAGCCGCTCGAAGCCGAGCTCGTTGCCAAAGATCGAGTGCACGAGGACGAGCGAAGGCGCCCCCTCGCCGCCCTCGGGCGCGGCGCGGACGAGGACGAGGCGCGGAGAGAGCAGCTCCGCCTTCTCGTACAGCTCGGCGGCGTCGACCCGCACGCGCGCCTCTGGCCGCTCCTGCAGCTCGCGAATGTGGGCGGCGAGCCGGCGCGCAGTCGAGTGATCCACGAGGTCGTCCTCGCTGAGCTCGACGCCGGCCAGCGACTGCACCTTCCCCGCCACCTCCATCACGGCGAGCGAGTCGATGCCCGCATCGAGCAGCGGCGAGTCCGCGTCGAGCTCGCGGCCGGACGCGTGCTCGAGCAGCCCGAGCAGCAGCGGGAGCGTCATCTCCTGCGTCATCTCCTGCGGCTCGTCGCCAGCGCCGTCCGCCAGGGCTCCGCCCGCGTCACCTCCGCCTGGTGCTCCCGCCTTGGCCTCAGACAGCGCCTCGCGCCATGGAAAGCAGCGGCGAGCGTAGGCGGGCTTTGCGAAGGCGGGCAGCGCCCCCGCCGCGCCCTCTCGCCCGCTCTCGAGCACCGCCGTGGCGAGCGTGCCGCTGTACCCAAAGGCGTTGACCTCTCCGTACCGCACGCCCGAGGCGCGGAGCGGGGCGTCCGCCAGCTGCGTCGGCAGGGCGCAGGGCGACTCGCGCAAGGCCGCCGCCACGTGCGCGTTGACGACCCTCAGCTGCGCGTTGGCGAACGCGTGCCCGCCCGCGAGGCCGACGGCGAGCCGGAGGAGGCCGGTTGCGCCTGCGGCGGTCTCGCCGTGGCCGACGCTCGCCTTGGCGGTGCCGACGGCGAGGGGGTCGCCTCCCGTCCTCGCCGCGAGGAGGGCCGCGCGCACGGACCCCGCCTCGATCGGGTCGCCGAGCGGGGAGCCGTTCGCCGCCGCCTCGAGGCAGGCGAGCTCCTGCGCGCTGACGGCCGCCTGGGCGATGCCCGCGCGAAGCAGCGCCTGCTGCGCCGACCCGTTGGGCGCCGTCAGGCTGGCGCTCCTCCCCGACTGGCGGACGCAAGACGAGAGGAAGCGGGGGGCGGCGGGGCCGTCGGCACGGAGCGCCACGGAGCCGCACGCCTCGCCGCGCGCGTACCCATCCGCTCGCGCGTCGAAGCTGAAGGAGCGGCCGCCGGGCGAGGTGAGGGAGGCGACCGCGAAGGCCCAGCCAACGGTGGGGAGTAGCATCAGCATCACCGCCGCCGCGAGCGCGGACTCGCACTCGCCGTTCAGCATCGCGCCCAGCGCGGCGTGGTTCGCCACGAGGGCGGAGGAGCAGGCCGTCTCGACGGCGACGCAAGGGCCGTGCAGCCCGAGCGCGTACGAGAGGCGGCCGCTCGCGATCGAGTTGCTCGCGCCGGTGGCGGAGTAGACGCTCCGCCCGAGCGGCGTGTGGCAGAGGATGTCGTGCCAGTCGCAGTTCGCGATGCCCACAAAGACGCCCGTCGGCGAGCCCACCAGCAGGGCCTTGTCCATCCCGGCGCCCAGCAGCGCCTCGTACCCGCTCTCGAGCAGCAGCCGCTGCTGCGGGTCCATCGCCTCCGCCTCGGCGGGCGAGATGGCGAAGAAGGCGGCGTCGAAGCGGTCCGCACCGGCGAGGAAGCCGCCGTGCCTCGCTCGCGCTCCCACAGGCCCGTCGGGGTGATCCGGCCCGTCGATCCGCCACCGCTCCGGGGGGACGAGCGAGATGGTGTCGCCGCCCGCGGCCGAGACGCCGCGCAGCGCCTGCGTGCCGCGCAGCCCCGCCGGCAGGGAGATGCCCGCGCCGTGCAGGCGCGCCGCCGCGCCGCGCCGACGGGAAGACTCGTCCTCGGGCGGGGCTGCCGGCGGGGGCGTGCTCGTGGCGCCCGCGCCGCGCGCTGCGTCGGCCTGCTCCTTGAAGTAGCCCGCGAGCTGGCGCGCCGTCGGGTAGTCGAAGGCGAGCGTCGAAGGCAGCGTCATGCCCGACTGCGCCTGCAGCTGGTTGCCCAGCTCGACCGCGGCGAGCGAGTCGAGGCCAGACTCCATCAGCGGCGCGTCCGGGTCGACGCTCTGCCCCGTCGTCTCGTGCAGCATCGCCTGGATCGCGTCGAGGGTCACCTCCTTCACCTCGCCGCACGGGCCCGCGGCCGCCACCGCGCCCCTGCGGCCCTCAAACTGGGCGAGGAGCGGCGGCGTCTCGGGGAGCACACCGAGGAAGCTGCTCCAGCTCAGCAGCACCAGGCTCACCACGCCGGGCGCGGACGGCTGCAGCGTCGCCCGCAAGGCCAGCGCGCCCTGCTCCAAGCCGATGAGGCCCACGCCGCTGGTCTGCATGCGTGCGTTGATCGACGCGCCCGCCGCCATCCCCACCTCCGCCCACGGGCCCCACTGCACCGACGTTGCGCTCATGGCGCGCACGCGCCGGCAAGCGGCGAGCGAGTCGAGGCAGCTATTGGCGGCGGCATAGTTCGACTGGCCGCCGCCGCCGAGCAGCGCCGCGATCGACGAGAAGAGCACGCACGCGGCGAGCGGCGAGCAGGCGACCGCGCGCTGCAGCGCCCACGCGCCGTGCGCCTTGGGCGCGTAGACGCGCCTGATGGAGCCCGCCGACTGCGTGCTCAGCAGCCCGTCCGACAGCACGCCCGCCGCGTGCCACACGCCTGCCAGCGCGCCTCCCTCGGCCAGGACGGCGCCGACCATGCGAGCCGTGTCCGACAGCTCGGCCACGTCGCACTTGACCACGCTGAAGTCGCAATCGGCAAGCTTCTTGAGCTTCTCGCCGTCCGCGGGGGCGACCATGCCTCCGCGGGCCGCCAGTACCACCGACGCGGCGCCGCTCTCGCCGAGCCAGCTGCCAGTGACGAGGCCGAGGCCGCCCGTGCCGCCAGACAGCAGGTGGGCCCCGCGCGGCGGCGTCGGGGCGGCCGTCCTTGGGATCCGCACCACCACCTTGCCTGTGTTGGTGCCACTCTGCAGCGTGCGGAAGGCGGCCAACACGCTCTTCTCGAGGTCGAAGAGCTCCATGGGAAGGCCGTGGAGCACGCGGGCCTCCGTGCGCGCCGAGAGCAGTCGCAGCGTGCGGCCCATCCACCACGGCGCCTGCTCGATGGTGCTGTCGAGCGCGATCGCCACGTAGCGCGCGGCCGCCGACGCCGCCTCGCGCCGCTCGTAGCTCCACACCGCGCGCTTGCCAATCTCGCACAGCCGGCCGCCCTCGCGCAGCAGCGCAAAGGAGACGGCGATGAAGTCGGCCGAGAGGCTGTTGAGGACGGAGTGCAGCCGACCAGCGCCGAGCAGCCTCGACGCGCCGAGTGCAAAAGCGCCCCCGTCGCGCGAGCTGAGCGTGCGGCCGGCGAGGCCCATGCGGTGCAGGTAAAAGTGCTTGTACGGCCGCCCGACGCTGGCCATCGTGCGGCTGCCGATGAGATGGCAGTACTCCTGCGAGGCGAGGCCGACGCCGCCCGCTCCGGCGTGCAGAAAGGCCTCGCACCCCGCCCCCAGCCGCGCCGTCAGCAGGGACGTGTGCACCGTGCACCAAGTCGTCGGCAGCGTGCAGGCTTGCTCAAACGAGAGCGAGTCTGTGATGGCCGCCATCAGGCGCGCGTCCGACTTCGAGAGCGATGAGAGCACCGCGAGGCCGTGGCCGAGCGCGGCGTCGCCGACCGAGAGATGCGGGATGCCGGTGCCCTTGTCAGCGATGTGCGCGGCGCAATCGCTGCCCGGCTCGCCCGGCTCGCCCGGGTACACGCCGAGCACGTTGAGCACGTCGCGAAAGTTGAGCCCCACCGCGCCGACGTGCAGCTTGAGCTCGCCGTGGACCGGCTCGGAGCCGTCCTCCTCCTGTGGCACCACCCGCAAGTTGCCGACGGCGCCGCGGGCGTCGAAGCAGAGCTTGATGGGTCCACCCAGCGAGCCGGCCGCCTCGGTCAGGCGCGGCACGCGCTGGCTCGAGCCGTCAAAGGCCATCTCGGGCTCGGGCGTGCCGTTGTAGCCGAGGCCGAGCTTGCCGGCCAGCTTCGACACCGCCGCCAGCTCGGTCATGCCCGGACGGAGCACGTCCAGGTCGATGATCGGCAGCTGCGACTGCGGCGCCTCGGAGCGCGCCTGGCGGATCAGGCCCATCAGGCCCGCGCGGCTCGAGACGCCGGTGCCGCTCGAGCGGGCCGCGAGGGCGCCGGCCGAGACCATCCACATCGGTGGCGTCGAGCGCGTGATCGTGTGCGTGCGCGCGACGTCAAACGCAGCCGCCAGCCCGGCGAGCGAGTCGGAGGCCTTGGCGCCGGCGCCCAGGCCGATGGCGTACACCACCGCGCCAATCGACGCCGACGGAGCCGCCGCCGCGGCGCCGGAGCCCGACGCGACGCCGAGCGGAGGCGAGGCGCACATCACGAGCGCCGCTTTGGCGTCCTCGGCGGCAGGCACCGTCGCAGCCTGCCACGACGTGACGTACAGGTGCGACGGCCTGCGGGCCGCTTGCGCCGCCTGCAGCCCCTGCTGCGCGTCGGCCTTCAGCACGCGGTTGACGAAGCCGACCAGCGCGGCGCCGGGGGCGGAGCCGCGCGCCTCGCGGCCGAGGAGGATGTCGCTCGCCCCGGAGACGGACGTCGAGTGGACGGAGACGATCCACAGCCGCCCCGTGGCGCCCGAGAGCGTGGCGTGCCCGAGGCTGAACGGCACCCTCGTCTCGTTGGCCCGCGCCGCCGCCTCGTCGGCGAGGAGGCCGGTGAGCTGCAGCGCCGCGTCGAGATCGCCCGGGTGGATGGCCGTGCCTCGCATGCCAGCGTACCCCACCGCGCGCACACCGAGCGACGCGACGGCCACGCCCTCCTCACGGGACGTCCACATCTTGCGCAGCCTCCGGTACTCGGGGCCGTACTCAATCTGCCGGGCGCGGAACATGGCGTAGTAATCGGCGGCGCTGACGCCAAAGGTCGCCACCCCTCGGCTCGCCACGATGTCGACCGACCTGGCCGCGGGGGCGCTCGAGGAGGCCCCTCCCGCCTCGCCGAGGGCGATTGAACCGGCGCAGTGGACGGCACGCGACAGCTCCTCCCCGGAGCCATCGAGGCGGGAGGTGGTCACCTCGAAGCGCTCGTCGGCTTCGTCGAGCTCCACCGATACCCACAGGCCGTCCGGCTCGTCGAGGAACATCGGGGCCATAAAGTAGACGCGCGACAGCCGGGTGGCACGGGGCTCGCGCCCGCTCAGCCGCACGGCGCGCGCCGCACGCGTCATCTCGAGATACGCGGCCGCAGGGAAGATGACGTGCCGCTGAATCACGTGGTCGGCCACGATGGCAAGCAGAGCACCGCTGGCCGGCGCGCGCATGCCCTGGACGGTGCTCCCCGCCGCCGCCTCGATCGGCCGCTGGGCGAGCGGGTGCGGCAGCTCGACCCACGCGAAGCGGCGCCGCGCGAAGCGGAGAGTCAGCGCGCCGAAGGAGGGGATCGCCGCCTCCTGCGGTGCCTCGTCTGCCGCACTGCTGGCGCGCGAGAGGACGGCGTGGGCAATCGTCCCCGCATAGCCAAAGGAGGAGACGCCGCTCACCGCCGCCCCGCCGCCTCGGCGGTGCTGCAGCAGCTGCGTCGGGAGCAGCCACGGGAGGCCGCCGCTGACCGGGAGGAAGCGCTCGTCAACGAGGTGATTGATAGCAAAGAGCTGCGCGTTTCCCGCCCAAGCGGCAGCCCTCAGCAGCCCCATCGACTTTGCCAGCCCGAGCAGGCCCGAGACCGGCTCTGTGTGGCCAACGTTTGCCTTGGCGGCGCCGACGGCGGTTCGGCAGCCGGAGCTGTTGCGGTCGCGGAGAACCGCCGCGAGGGCGCCCGCCTCGGTCGGGTCGCCGAGCGCGGTGCCCGTGCCATGCGCCTCGACGCAGTCTATCGCCGACCTCGCCGCCGCTGCAAATGCGCCGGCGAGCAGGCTGCGCTGGGCGAGTCCGTTTGGCGCCGTCAGGCTCGCGCTGCGCCCGTCCTGCCTCACGGCCGAGCCCTCAAGGAGGAGGGCCCCTCCGGCCGCAACCCCCGGGGCCAGCACAATCGCGGCGGCGGCCTCGCTCCGCGTGTAGCCGTTGGCCCGCCGGTCGAAGGTCTTGCAGCGGCCGTCTGCGGCGAGCATGCCCGCCGACGCGATCGCGAGCATCGCGTGCGGCATGAGCTTCAAGGAGACCGAGCTGACGAGCGCCGAGGGGCACTCCCCCGCCCGCAGGGCGGCCGCAGCGTGGTGCAGGACGACGTGGCCTGACGAGCAGGCGGTGTCGACTATTAATGAACTATTAATTAACTATTAATTAAGTATTAATCAGTGGCCTGACGAGCAGGCCGTGTCGACGGAGACGCACGGGCCCTGCAGCCCGAGCGCGAAGGACAGGCGGCCGCACGCGACGGATGTTGTGTCGCCCGTGATGGTGTAGACAGAGACGGCGGCCGCGTCGGGCTTGAGGGCGTTACGGAGCGACCAGTCCGGCCGCTCGATGCCGAGGTAGTAGCCGATGCCAGCACCGACGAGGCCGGCCCGCCGCTCCCCGACAGCGTGCAGGGCGCTGTAGCCGAGCTCGAGCAGCAGCCGCTGCTGCGGGTCCATGGCGGCCGCCTCGGCGGGCGAGACGGAGAAGGCGTGGCCGTCGAACCGATCGATGCCCGCCAGGCAGGCGCTGAAGGTGGCGCTGCTCCGCTGCTCCTCCCGGAGAGCAGCGAGCTGGCTCTCGTGGCCGTCGAGCGACCAGCGCGAGGCGGGAACCTGCCTCACCGCGTCGCCGCTCGCCTGGAGCATATCCGCGGCGGAGGAGACGCCGTCGGCCACGCCCGGCCAGCGCGCCATCATGCCGCGCAGCGCAACCTCCGCGCGCGACCCGCCCGCGGCCAGAGCTGCGGGCGCCTGCGCGCTCGGCGCCGGCGCGTCTTCACCGCCGCCGACGAGCCGCTCGACGACGTGCGAAGCGATGGCGCGAGGGGTCGGGTGGTCAAACACGTCCGTCGCCGAGAGCTCGACGCCCGTCTCGTCGCGCAAGCGCGTCGAGAACTCGGAGGCGGCGAGAGAGTCGATCCCCGACTCCATGAGCGGCGTGTTTGCGTCAAACTCGCTCGCGTCGGCGCCTGACACCTCCCGCACCCCCTCCATCACGATCGCCTCAACGTGCGGCTGTCGCTTCTCAGGCGGCATCTGAAGCAGCTCGTGCGCCAAACTGCCCGGAGCAGCGGCGACTGCTTGGCCGCCGCTCGCGTTGGCGCGCACCGCCGACCCTGGCAGCTCCGACAGCAAGGGCAGGAGCGCCGCATGCTGCCCGCGCAAGATCGACGCTGCATCGGCTGGCAGCGGGGCCCAGACTCTGGCACCGTGCGACAAGTCGAGGGCAAGGTCTGGCCGCGCCGGCGGCGAGACGCCGAGGAGAGCGCCGAGGCACCCCGCGTACTGCTCGAGCGACAGCGACAAGAGGGAGAACGCCTGCTTGTCGGCAGCGCCCATGCCCGCCCCAAGGATAAGCGGCATCTGCATCGAGCTCGCTGGCATGCCGGCGCAACCCCGAGCGGTGGCCAGCGTGTCGAGACACGCGTTCGCAGCAGCGTAGCTCGCCTGCCGCGAGGGGCTGGGCAGGTCACAAGAAGCTGGGAAGGCCACGAGGGGGTCGGTAGGCCGGGGCGGTGTGGGGAGTGGCGCGGCGTATTGTTGCGTCTTGGCGTCGCTCGCTCGCCTGCCCAACGTTCCCAAACGTCGAGGCGATCGAGGAGAAGAGCACAAAGGCGGCCGCCGCGGCTTGGCTCGTTGCGCCGTGGAGGTGGCGCGCGCCGAGCGCCTTTGGCGCCATGACAGCGGCGAGCTCGTCGCGCCCGGTGTTGAGCATCAGCCGATCGCGCGTCGTCCCCGCAGTGTGCAGGACCGAGCGGAGCCTGCGAAGCGCCGTCCCGGGAGCGCCGTCGACCTCCCGCGGCGCTGAACGGAGCATCGCGACCACGCCCTCCTCCTGCGCCACGTCGCACGCCACCACCGCCACACCGCCCTCCCCTCTCCGCAGCCGCTCGAGCCGCTCCTCGAGGCCCTGCCCGCCCCGCGCAACTCGTCCGCTCCGCGAGCAGAGCACGACAGCATCCGCAGCACCGTCGCAGAGCAGCGACGCGGCCCGGAGGCCGAGCCCGCCCAGCCCGCCGGTGATGAGGTGCGTCCCGCCGCTCTGTGGCGGCGCCGCGCTCCCCTCGTGCACACAGCCGCGCCGCAGCCGCAGCACGTGCAGCGCCGTGGCGGAGGCGGCTACCTGCCCCTCCTCCTTGAGACTGTCGTCGCTGTCGTCGCCCATCAGCACGGAGGCGAGGGCGGTCGGCACAGAAGCACCGAACTGCAAGTCGACGACGGTGGTGCCGAGCGCCGGGCCCTCCATCCGAAGCACACGGCCCATCCCCCACGCGCACCCACCGGCCAGACGGGAGCCTCCGAGCGCACTCATCGCCGTGGGCACGCTCAGCTGCGCACCAGACGTCAGGACGACGAGCCGTAAGGGGCGACGGGTCAGCAGGAGCTGCCGTGCCACGAAGAAGATCCACTCCGCCCTCGCGAGCGGCGCGTGGTCCCCTCGGACCGAAGCCAAATCAAGAACCAACCCGGCGGCGCTGGTCGCGTTGGCGGTGGCGGCTGCGGTGGCGCCGTCGCCAATAGCGCCGGAGGGGGTGTCAGCGGAGGCGACGAGTAGCCAGGAGCGGCTGGACTGGCGGGGAAGAGGGCGGGGATGGGAGGACCACGCCGAGGAGTACGTCAAGAGGACCTCCGTCGCGGGCGAGAGCGGAGGCGCGGGGGCGGCGGGCCCTCCAGCCTGCACGGCTCCCGCCTGCGCGGCGGGCCCTCGCTGCGCTTGGTACGGCGTCCGCCACCCGAACCGCTTGCGCACGTAGCGGAAGCGGCCGCTCAGCGTCGCCGGGCTCCGTGGAGCAGCCCGCAGGACGGCGTGCACGATGGTGCCAGAGTAGCCAAAGGAGCTCACGCCGCCGGCGCGGGCCTGGGTGGGGGCTTGGCGAAGGGCGGCGAGCTGCGTCGGGAGAGCGCACGGTGCCCCCTCGAGTGCGTTGAGGACGTGCTCATTCGCGACCCGCAACTGCGCGTTGGGCGGCGCACGCGCAGTGAGGAGGCCGAGGGTGAGGCGCAGCAGGCCCGTCGCCCCCGCCGCAGGCTCGGCGTGTGCGGCGTTGGCCTTGACGCTGCCCACTGACAGAGAGGCTGCAGGGGGCAGGTGCGAAAGCAGCGTGCCCTTGAGCGAGCTCGCCTCGATCGGGTCGCCGAGCGCGGTGCCGGTGCCGTGCGCCTCCACACACACCACCTCGGGCGCACCGACGCCGACACCCGCGTCCGCCAGCGCCGCCCGCAGCAGCGCCTGCTGCGCCAGCCCGTTTGGCGCCGTCAGGCTCGCGCTCTTACCGTCTTGCCGCACGCAGCTCCCCGCGAGGGCGAGAAGCACCTCCGCCTCCGAGGCTCTGCAGCCGAGGGCGACTGCGCACAGCGCCTCTCCGCGGCAGTACCCGTCCGCGCGAGCGTCGAACGTGTGGCAGTGGCCTCGCGCGGAGGTCATGCCCGCCGTGGCGAAGGCCAGAGACACCTCGGGCAGCAGCATGGTGCTCACGCCCACCGCCAGGCCGGCGCTGCACTCGCTCAGCTGAAGCGCGCGCAGCGCCGCGTGGCCGGCGACGAGCGCCGCCGAGCAGGCGGTGTCGTAGGCGGCGCAGGGCCCCTGCAGGCCGAGCACAAAGGAGAGCCGCCCCGACGCGATGGAGACGGTGCTGCCCGTGGCGGCGTAGACGCTCCTCGCCATCGGCGAGCTCCGGACGATCTCCTTCCAGTCGTTGGCGGCGATGCCGAGAAAGACGCCAGTCAGCGAGCCGAGCAGGCCTCCCCTGTTGAAGGCCGCCGCGTGCAGCGCCTCGTACCCACCCTCTAGTAGCAGCCGTTGCTGCGGGTCCATCGCGCGCGCCTCCGTCGCAGAGACGCCAAAGTGGGCGCTGTCAAAGAGGTCGATGTGCTGCATGAAACCGCCGTGCCGCACGCGAAGCGCGACCGGTCCATCGAGCTGCGAGAGGCCCTCTGCGGTCCAGCGGAGCGGTGGGACCTCGCTGCAGAGGTCGGCGCCTCGCGCCGCCATGCCGAGGGCGTCACGGACGGTCTCCTGGCCCCGGGGCAGCTTTGAGCTGAGCCCGCGCGCAGCGGCGACAGGGGCCTCGGCGAGGGGAGAGCGCGGCCCCTCCGCTGGCGCGATGTCGACAGCCTCCGGCGCATCCTTGGACGGCGCGGCCCTCTCCTCAAAGTAGCCCGCGAGCTGGCGCGCCGTCGGGTAGTCGAAGATGAGCGTCGACGGCAGCGTCATGCCCGACTGCGCCTGCAGCTGGTTGCCCAGCTCGACCGCGGCGAGCGAGTCGAGGCCAGACTCCATCAGCGGCGCGTCCGGGTCGACGCTCTGCCCCGTCGTCCCGTGCAGCATCTCGAGCAGCGACTCCATCGTGATCGGCACCGCGGGCCCGCCGCCGGACGCGCCCGCCGCGGAGACCGCGACGCGCTGGCCCTCAAAGCTGGACAGCAGCGGCGGCACCTGCGGCATCATGCCGAGGAACTTGCCCCACGCCACCAGCACCGCCGCCACCACGGCCGGGCTGCGCGGAAGCAGCGACGCTTGCCACGCCGCGACGCCGTGGGAGCGCTCGATGAGCGAGATGCCGGCCGACTGCAGCCGCTGGCTCACCGAGCCGGCCGCCGCCATCCCCACCTCGGCCCACGGGCCCCACTGCACGCTCGAGGCCGCCTGCGCGCGAAGGCGGCGGCACGCGGCGAGCGAGTCGAGGCAGCCGTTGGCGGCCGAGTAGTTTGCCTGCGCGCCGCCGCCGAGCAGCGCCGCGATCGACGAGAAGAGCACGCACGCGGCGAGCGGCGAGCAGGCGACCGCGCGCTGCAGCGCCCACGCGCCGTGCGCCTTGGGCGCGTAGACGCGCTTGAAGGTCTGCGCACTCTGAGCACGCAGCAGCCCGTCCGACAGCACGCCCGCCGCGTGCCACACGCCTGCCAGAGGCACGCCGCTGCCGGCGAGAAGGGCAGCGGCGAGGCGGCGCGTGTCCTCCAGCTCGGCCGCGTCGCACTTGGCCAGCGAGAAGCTGCACCCCGCGACCCTCCGGAGCGCAGCGCCGCAAGAGGCCGCAACGGAGCCTCCACGAGACGACAGCACCACCGCAGCGGCGCCGCTCTCGCCGAGCCATCTGCACGCCAGCAGTCCGATGCCGCCGGTCCCACCCGAGATGAGGTGCGTGGATGGCACGGCGCTCGCATCCTCCGACGCCGCGGGAAGCCGCCGCAGCCGCGGCGCAAACGCCTTGCGCCCGCTGCAAACCACCTCCTTCTCGATCCCTGCCTCAGCGACAGCCATCCGGCCTCCCGAGCAGCCGTCGACGTGCAGGACGGAGGCGACCATGGCCTCGCTCCGCACCGTCCGAGCGAGCCCCAAGAGGCCGCCGTGCAGCGGCCGTGTCGCGTCCGAGCCGGCTGCCGGCTGCGTGCCAGCGTTGAGCACCCTGACAGGCGCCGGCCGGGAGCCGAGCTGGTGGCGGAGGACGCAGAGCAGAGCCTCGGCGGCGGGCAGAGGCCCGGCCCCACGGCGTAGCGGCAGGGAGAAGACGTGCTCGCTAGTAGACATTGCCGGCGGAACCGCGCGCGAAGCGCCAGCAGCAGGGCTCGTGCCGGATAAGACTCTGGCAGACGCGCCGTCGCCCACAGAGAAGGCGACCTCTGCCCACTCCGTCGCGTACAAGTGGCGCGACCGTTGCGAGGCCGTGGCGGCGGACTGGCCGCGCATAGCGCGCGCCTCGAAGGCATCGATGCGAGCCAGCGCGGGGCAGGGCGCAGAGGCGCTGGCGATCCCGATCGCGCTGCAGTGCTCGTCCTGCGCCTCGACGGCGGAGCAGAGCCGACCCGAGGCGGACGCGAGCCGCGCCTCGCCGACCGAGAAGGGCAGCCGGATCTCGTCGCTCGACGCGCCCTGCGCCAGCAGCGCCGTCTGCTGGATCGCGCCGTCCAAATCGGCCGGGTGGACCCGCGTGCCCTCGCGGCGGCACCGCCGATGCAGCCACGCCACCGACGCGCTGGCGTCGCCGGCGGCGGCCGCGCGGCGCAGCATCCGGTAGCCTGGCCCGTACTCGAGCCCGACGCGGCCAAACGCCGCGTACAGCCGCGCCAGGTCCACGGCGTGCGCGCAGCCGGCGCGGGCGGGCGCGAGCGCGAGCGGCGCGAGCCGGCTGTCGGACGCGGCGGCCGAGCCGCCGCAGTGCGCGGTGCGCTGCTCGTCCAGCTCGCTCCGGATCTCGAACCGCTCCTCTGCGCCGCCCAGCTCGCAGCTCAGCCACAGCCGGTCGAGCGAGCCGTCCAGTAGAAAGGGCTGCAGGAAGAAGGCGCGACGCAGCACCGCGCCGCCGCCAGCACCACCCGACGCGGCGACGCACGCCGCGCGCGCCATCTCGAGGTAGCCCGCGCCGGGGAACACGACGCGCCCCTGCACGACGTGGTCGGCCACCAGCGCCAGCAGCGCCCCCGCCGCCGGCGACCGCAGCGTCACCGAGCCTCCCTCCTCCCCCTCGGCCCTCCGGTGCGTCAGAGGGTGCGGCGTCTCGCGCCACGCGAAGCGGCGACGCAGGTACCGAGGCGGCTCGATGCCGGCCTCCGGCCCGCCCCGCTCCGCCGCCGCCTCCACCTGCAGCACCGCGTGCGCGATCGTGCCGCTGTACCCAAACGAGCTCACGCCGCCGACGCGGGCGGAGGCGCCGTCGGAGGGCGCCGGCAGAGGCGCGAGGCCGACTGGCAGCAGCGCCGAGGACCCGCGCAGCGCGGCGCCGACGTGCTCGTTGAGGAGGCGCAGCATCGCGTTCGGAGGCGCCTCCGCGTGAGAGAGGGACAGGGCGAGCCGCACCATCCCCGACGCGCCCGCCGCCGGCTCGGCGTGCCCGGCGTTCGCCTTGACGCTGCTGACGCGCAGCGGCTCGTCGCCGGCGCCCCGCCTCGCAATCACGGCCGCCTTGAGCGAGCCGGCCTCGATCGGGTCGCCGAGCGGCGTGCCCGTGCCGTGCGCCTCGACGCAGCCAAGCTGGTCGGGTGTCACGGCCGCGTCCGCCAGCGCCGCCCGCAGCAGCGCCTGCTGCGCCTGGCCGTTTGGCGCCGTCAGGCTCGCGCTCTTGCCGTCCTGCCGCACGCAGCTGCCGCTGAGGCCAAAGCGCTCCGCGACGTGTGTGAGCGGCGCGGCCTCGCGCTGGCGCAAGTACGCGCTCTCGCCTCCACCGCTCCGCTGCAGCGCCGCGGAGCACACCGACTCGCTCCGCACGTACCCGTCCGCGCGAGCGTCGAACGTGTGGCAGTGGCCTCGCGCGGAGGTCATGCCCGCCGTGGCGCACGCGACGCCCGCCGCAGGAAGGAGCATCAGGTTGACGGCGCAGACGAGGCCGGCGCTGCACTCGCTCAGCTGAAGCGCGCGCAGCGCCGCGTGGCCGGCGACGAGCGCCGCCGAGCAGGCAGTGTCGTAGGCGGCGCAGGGCCCCTGCAGGCCGAGCACAAACGAGAGCCGCCCCGACGCGATGGAGTGGTTGCTGCCCGTGGCGGCGTAGACGCTCCTCGCCATCGGCGAGTCCCGGACGATCTCGGCCCAATCGTTGGCGGCGATGGCGACGAAGACGCCCGTCAGCGAGCCGAGCAGCGATCCGCGCTCCCTCCCCGCGCCGTGCAGCGCCTCGTACCCGGACTCGAGCAGCAGCCGCTGCTGCGGGTCCACGGCGGCCGCCTCGGCGGGCGAGACGGAGAAGCGGGCGGGGTCAAAGAGGGAGGGGTCCGCGAGCCAGCCGCCGTGCCTCGCTCGCAGGGCAACCTCCGGCGAGAGTGAGTCGAGCTCGGACAGCCTACTCCGCACCCACCGCCCGTGACGAGACCTCCCCGCCCCCGATGGCGGCGCGGCGGGGAGGTAGAGGCTGCCGCTCGTCGCCCCACCGCTCGGGCGGCACCTCGAGGGAGCAAGCCATGGGTCATGGCCGAGACGCAGCCGAGGTGTGGCCGAGGTAAGACGCAGCCGCCACGTAGCCGAGATGCGCACCTCGCGGACCAGCTCGCTGCCGCATGCAGCGGCGCAGCGCAGCGCGGAGGGTGCACCCACCCCCGCAGGCAGCGTCGCCGCGAGGCCGAAGACGCCGACTCGCGCCGTGAGCGCCTCGAGGCGGGCGGCGGGAAGGCCGGTGGCCGGCAGGGTGGCAGGCAGGCTGTCTTGCAGCGCCTCCTGCATGCCGCTGCTCGCAAAGAAGTCCGCGAGCTGGCGGGCAGTCGGGTGGTCGAAGATGAGGGTGGCGGGAAGCTCCTCGCCCGTCTGCTGCTGCAGCTGGTTCCCCAGCTCGACCGCGCCCACCGAGTCGAGCCCCGACTCGAGCAGCGGCGCGTCGGCGTCGATGTGCTCTCCGGACAGCTCGTACAGATTCGCGAGCACCGTCTCCAGCGTGACGGCCGGAGCGCAGGAGGCGGCGTGGGCGCCGCCGGCGGGCCGGTCGGAGGCGGCGACGAGCTGCGTGATGTCGAGCGGCGGCGCGGCCGGGGCCCCGAGAGCGCGGCTGGGAGCGCCGGCGACGCCGTTCGCCTTTGCGGCGCCGCCTGGCTTTGCGGCGCCGCCTGGCTTTGTGGCGCCGTCGGCCGCCGCCGCGTAGCCGCTGGCGTGGCCGTTAGGCGGGCTGACAGACCCGTTCGACGGAGCGACCGCGAACCTGTCGAGCGGCCCCTTCGGCGGCGGCCGTGGGAGCGCCAGGCTGCCTCGACCCAGGCTGCCCAGGGCCATCGCAGCAGCCTCTCTCTGCCTGGCCATCACCGCGGCGAGGGCGCAGTCAATGTGGCGGTAGCTCCCACAGTCGTTCTGGCGCCGCCCCTCCGTCAGCAGCACGAGGCGGCCGCACTCAGAGCAGGGACCGCGGTGAGACAGCGGCTGGTCGGCCCAAGAGCGGCGAGAGGACGAGGAGGAGCTGTCGCCGCCGGTGGAGGAGCCGGGGACGGGAGGCGGCGTGCGGCTCGGCGAGCTGGCGCCGGAGGAAGGCCACTCCTCGGCCATCTTCATGTAGGCGAACATGCGGCTCTGGCCGAGCAGCGACGAGGAGTAGGTGCGCAGCGTCTCTTGCTGCTCCTCGAGCCTCTTGCTCAGCTGCACAGCGATCGCTTTTGACTCCTCCGCAACGGCGAGCGCTGCCTTGGCGGCGGCGCTCGCGCTCGCAGCACTGTCCGTGCTGTCGTCCGCAGGCATGTGGCAGGCACTCGAGGACCTGCCGAGGGGAGGAGCAGGGCTGTCGGCGGCGGCGGCGGCTGGGGAGTCGCGGCGACGGAGTCTGAGAGGCTGGCGGCAGGTGAGGAGAGGGCGGTGGAGGCCAAGGTGCAACCGGAGGCATCGGTTTTGGCAGGGCGGCGGTGGTGACGGCGGAGGGACGCACGGCGTTGGAGGAGAGATTGCTGGTCGGCGACGTGTGGTGGCGAAGAGGGCGTCGGAACGAGCGCTCTCAGCCTCCACCTTGGAGTGTGAGCCATGACCAAACGCAAAAAAAGAAATTTGTGCCACCCTACCTCCTGAGTGTCTTGTGTGTGGGAGAGAACGACGAGGGTGGGACGACCGCGAGGTGGCATGAAGGTTGCAGCGAGAATAGGCGAGAGACTGCGAAGAGAGATAGGAAGAGGCAGACTCCCTAGGGTGGGCGACGGATAGCGCACCACACACCTCTCCTTAAAATCCCTGTGTGGTGGCGGCGTGCCGTCCTCCCATCCCTCCCTTGGGTTGTCTGTTTTCTTTCTTTCTTTCTTTTTTCTTGTCTTGTAGCGAGAATCGGCGAGAGACTGCGAAGAGAGATAGGAAGAGGCAGACTCCCTAGGGTGGGCGACGGCTAGCGCACCACACACCTCTCCTTAAAATCCCTGTGTGGTGGCGGCGCGCCGTCCTCCCATCCCTCCCTTGGGTTGTCTGTTTTCTTTCTTTCTTTCTTTCTTGTCTTGTGGTTCTGTGTGTCGCTCCTGTGTGACCGTCATCGCCTGTCTAGCGTCCACCCATACCGCGTTGGTGTCCCAGTCGTTGGTCGGACTGTGTTTCGCCTTCCCATCAATATTCGTTTACGTTGAGGTGATGTGGAGTCTGGCCGCGCGGCGGGCGGCGGGACGGACGTAAGATAATGAATCGATGATGCGATCAGGCGTAACAAGCGCGATTGCACAAGGGGTGGAGGAGGGTCTGGCCACCACGGGGCGAGGGAGGCGGCGGGCCAGATGCCGGATCCGCTGTGCGCGTTCGTCGGTCAGGGCGCGGCGCTGACCGCGGCGGCCTGGGCCGCGGCGGCGGCGAACGCCGACGGCGGCGGACCATTCCAGCGGCTCGGCGAGGGCCGGGGCGCGGCGTTGCGGGAGGCGTGGACGGCGGAGGCGGTGCGCACCGTGCCCGCGGAAAGGCGGGCGGCGGCGGGCGACGCCGACGAGCTGTTCGCGTACGCCCGTCCGCCCACGAAGAGGGAGAGGCTCGAGAAGGGCGAGCGGCGCGCCGAGCAGCACCAGGGGTGGGCCGATGCGCCGAAGGAGAAGAGGCGGAGGGCGGCGGAGGAGCAGACGGCGGCGTCAATCAATGAACTCGGGGGCACAGACAGTCGAGAAAGGGATAGACGGCAACAACAGTCAGAAGTCAGCGCTGGGCCAGGGCGAATGCGATGACGGCCTCTAGTGTGAGCTCTATCAATCAATCACCTCCTACTAGCGCCGTGCCGTTCTCCCATCCCTCCCTTGGGTTGTCTGTTTTCTTTCTTTCTTCTATTTCCCACTAGCGCAAAGGTACGGATGACCAAACGCAAAAAAAGAATGGCGCTGCTTTCCACGCGGCAGCTCGCTGGACTCCCTCGGTGTGCGGGACACCATAGCTGTGCAACAAAACAACGGCTCCAGGCCCCAAATCCCAAATGACGTGTGAGTGTTAGAGTTGTTTGGCATTGCTAACCCCCCCCCCCCCCCCCCTGGCTCCGGCTCAGGTCGTGGGGCATAGCTCGGGTGTCAATAAGCTTTGCGCCACGGTCAGCGAGGTCGAGGCGGCCAAGAGTTCCGTCGAGCATGACGATTGTGCCAGAGACGGCAGACGCGCACCGTCGTTGCCTTGAAGGCGGACGGGTCGAAAATGAGCTCCTGGAGGCTGTGCCACGGTGGTGGTGGAGGCTGCATATATGTGTGTGAGTGTGTGCATATATGACGACGAAAAAGAACTTTACACCCAAAAAGAATTTTACGCGCGCCTCGTGCCCAGTGTGGGACCCTGTCCTTCTCCCACCCCTTGTTTGGGGGGGCCGTTTTATTTATTTATTTATTGGGCGAAAAAGAATTTCATCCCTTTAAACACAGGTTTCCCTTCTTCCCGTCCCCTCGCCCCCCCCCCCCCTTCCTGACTCGCGCCATAATAACGGTCTCTGCACCCGCGCGCACAACCGAGTCCGAGAGCGGCCCGCATGCTTCGCCCGCTCCCTGCCCTTGGCCTGCGCCTTGCCCTTCTTGCCGACCGCGATCCCGCGGAGCCCTCTTTGGCGAGCTCCACGGCGAGGTCGCGCCAGTTCCTGTTGTGGACCACCGTCGTGAAGCGCCGCTGCGCCTGGTGTAGGAACTCGTGCTTGGACGTGAACTCGGGAGGGGGGCAGCTCCTTGGCCTCAAAAAGAAAACGCTGAACCAGCCGCCGCCGCGCCGATGGCCTCCCACCGCATCGGCGCCCGCCTGTCTGGCCTCTCGCCAGAGCAGCTCGTCGCCTTCATCGACGAGCAGGCGCCCCTCTGGAGCCCCGCCGCAATGCGTGTGGCGGAGGAGCACGCCGCTCGGCTCGCGGAGCAGCCCGAGTGGATCCTCTCCGAGGTCCTCCTCTCGCCGGACCTCGCCCCGCACATCCTCGCCCAGCTGCCGACCACGGAGCACGCCGTCAAGGGGACGTGCCGCGCGTGGCGCCGCGGCTGGAAGGAGACGCTGAAGAAGCGCGAGAGGCCGCGCCTGCTCGTGTTCGGCGGCCACGGCAGCAACGATGAGTTTGTCAGCTCGCTGGAGCGGTACGACCCGTCAACGAATGCGTGGGAGGAGGAGGCTGTGGCGCCGATGTCTACAGCACGAAGGTATGTCGGCACGGCGGTGCTCGATGGCAAGCTCTACGCGGTGGGCGGCGAGAGTGAGGCTGACGAAGCATCCAACTCGGTGGAGCGGTACGACCTGGCGACGAATGCGTGGGAGGAGGTGGCGCCGATGGTGACACCACGCGAGAACCACGCCGTGGCGGTGCTGGACGGCAATCTGTACGCAGTGGGCGGATGGAACGACGACGACCAATTCCTCAGCTCGGTCGAGCGGTACGATCCCGCGACGAACGCGTGGGAGGCGGTGGCGCCGATGGCGGCGGCGCGGGCTGTTTTTGGCGTGGCGGTGCTCGACGGCAAGCTGTACGCTGTGGGCGGATTCGATGGCGACCACCTCAGCTCGGTCGAGCGGTACGACCCGACAGCGAACGCGTGGGAGGCGGTGGCGCCGATGGCGGAGGAGCGGGACGACCTCGCAGTTGCGGTGCTCGACGGCAAGCTGTACGCCGTGGGAGGACGCAACGACGACGACGGCTGGCTCAGCTCGGTCGAGCAGTACGACCCGGCGACGAACGCGTGGGAGGCGGTGGCGCCGACGGCGACGGCTCGAAATCGTCACGCCGTGGCGGTGCTCGACGGCAAGCTGTACGCTGTGGGCGGACAGAACGAGGAGTTCGAGGACGGAGCTAGCAGCCTGGTGGAGCGTTACGACCCGGCGTTGGGGGTATGGGATTCGGTTGCGCCGATGGGGACGGCGCGGATCTCTCTGGGCGTCGCCTTGCTATAGCCGACGGAGGCGCGGCGGCGTCGCGCGTCGCCCCGGTGTGCAGAGTCGAGACCGCGACAAAGTCGACACACACGCGAGAGATGCCCGCTGCCTGGGGTGCCCTCTGTGGCTTTACCTTTTGAACAAGTAACGTGTACGGTAAACTGCTTCTCCACACACACACACACACAACGTCAAAGAGGTGGCGGGGCACACAAGGGGGAGCAGCACCGACTCGCATCTCCCCACACCGCCGGACGCGATCCTATCTGTGCGTCACCTCCGACCGCCGCCACGCCCGCCGCCGCGCTTGCTGATGCCGCCCTTCCCCTTGCCCTTCCCCTTGCCTCCCTTGCCTCCCTTGCCGCGCTGGGGCGTCAGGTGCCGCTCAAGCATGCCCCGCCTCTCCGACCTCTCGCCTCCGCCAGCGCCAGGCAAGCCGCGCCCTCTGCCGCCGCCAGCGCCCTTGGCGCCCGCTGCGCCCTTGGCGCCCCCACCCTTGGCACCTTTGCCCTTGGCGCCGCCGCCCCCGCCGTCCTTGCCGCCGCCGCCCTTGCCCTTGCCCTTGCCCTTGCCCTTGCCGCCCTTGCCCCAGCCGGCGTCTTCTGCAAAGTCGTCGTCCCCGAGCCAGTCCGACAGATCTACTTGTGGTTGCCGCGCCGCAAGAAGGTTGCTGTTGCCGCGTCCGACGCCTTCGCATCCACAGGCTACAGTCAGCGCCAGTGGGGACAGCAGGCGTTCCGGATCTTCTCTGCCACTGGCTAAGTATGATCCTAAGACGCAGCCTTTTGGCCTCGCCTTTGATGCGGTCAAGGTCACGGGAAAGCTAGCGTGGGACCAAAAGACCGGCCGGTGGGTGGGGCAGATGGACTTCGACTCGCGCCTCGGCTTTGACTCGTGGGACGACATGAAGAACTTTCTCAACACAAAGGTGGCAGCTGGCTATGCTCTCGTCTTCCTGCTCTGCCCTCTCAGCCCGCGTATCCCCTCGCTGATGCTGCCAGTGGGCATCTTGCCCACCGACCTAAAGTACGGCTCGGACGACCTCGTCACGTACGTGGACAGCATCTGTGAGGGACTGACCGAGGCGGGCTTCGGACACGTGCTCCCGACTGTATCAGGAGACAATGCAGGCAACCACAGCCGCTTTTTCAAATTCAGCGGCAATATCCGTGGCGCTGGGCGGGCGTCCAACATTAGCATCGGGCACGAGCTGCTCGAGAGCAACGGCGAGCACGACGCACTCTTCAGCCTCGGTGCCTTTCGCCGTGAGCACATGACGTGCGAGATGGCGGCAACCACCGACCCGACCCATGACTTCAAGAACGGCAGCCTGCAGCCCTTCCTCCTCACATGCTTCCTGCTGATCGGCTACTACGCAGCCCTCGCGATGATGTATGTCGCGGTCCGAGACGAGGCCGGGCTGCACGCCGGGGACGTCAACAATGCCGATCCGATGGACGTGCCCGCGGCCGAGCGGCGACTCAACGTGGCCACTCGCATCGCGCTTTCCAAGCGCCCCGAGTGCTTTGGAATGCTGGCCTACGTGTGGGCCATCGCGAGCGGACGGGCATCGTGGATGGATCGTGCGGCATCCACGACGCCGCAGATGCGCATCCGCTGGTCGCTGCAGTGCCTGGTCTTGCCTGGTGTTTCTCCGATGGTGGCTAGAGTGGATCGAAGTCACAGACAGCCCAAAGTCGAGCTTCATCTCGATGCAGACGCATGCGGCGCACGTGATCCAGTGCCAGGCGCTTGTGATGGTGGTGCTGCTTTGGGCGCACTACTTCCCGGACAAGCAGTTCCCGCCGTGGCTCATCGGCTCTGACCAGCTCGAGCACTTCTTCTCCGAGCTCCGGGCGTGCCGCACCAGACCGACTTCACGATCGCTGAACTACTACAGCTCGTGAAGCGTTTTATCTTTTCGCTCGACATATTCAGCCGTGACGACGTACACCTACCTCACGACGTCTCCAACAAGAACTACAGCCGCTCGCATTGGACAGCCTCAGAGAGCGACGAGTACATCTTCTGGGACTGGCCCACGGTGGATACAATTCGTCAGCTGTACTTTGAGGTGGTCGAGGCTGTGCGGCCTCTAATGGTTGCGCTTGGCTGCGCCGAGGCGCTGCGCGGCGCGGGCCGATGGCACGCGCCGAGCCTCGAGGAGTGGAAGGCTATCGAGGATGCGCTCGACCAGGAGGAGCGGCGCGAGACTCGCGGCACACGGCGGCCGGCCCGAAGCGACGCGGACAGCAGCGACGAGGAGAGCGACGTTGACGATGACGATGACGATGGCGATGGCGGCGGCGGCGGCAGCGATCACGAGGAGGAGGATGGTGAGGACACCTACTTTCCCGATTGCATCCTCAAACATCGATCCGGCACTGGCAGTGCAGGCGCACGAGTGGAGGGGCGCGAATTCCTCATCAAGTGGAAAGGGTACAGCACCAGCAACCTTGATGTCAGCTCCCATTCTCACACCACCCCGTACGCCACCGCCCCCGCGCACGCAAGCGCCACGCCCGCGCAGTTGAGTCGCGTCAGCGCCGCCGGCGCGACGAGCAGCCCGGCGAGGACCGTGACAGGCCTTCGGACCGAATTGGCCAGAGAGTGCGAGACGGCGGACATGCGCGAGAGGCAGACGAAAGAGAGCTGGAGCTGGAGGTAGAAGGCGGCGCAAGCCGTGGCCAGCGGGAGCGGCCGCCGCAGTAGCGCCGCCGCGCCGCCTCGCAGCGCCGCCGCCGCGGCGGGCGAGAGGGCGGCGCGGGCGCACAGCAGGGCCAGCTGCGCCGCGGCGCCAAAGGCGCTCATCTGTAAAAAGAGGAGCACAGGCCCTGTGCCGTGCCGCGCCTAGGGAGTTCCTGGAAGGCTCAGGGAAGGCTCTGCAAGAGGAGCACCCGGTGCCGGTCCCGTGCCGCGCCTTGACGCGCCGCGCGAGGATGCCGCGCAGCGAGAAGCAGAGGTTGCTGGCCGTGACAAGGCCGAGCGAACGCGCGGTGGGCCCGTGCGCGCCGGCGGCGGACAGGGCGCAGCCGAGCGCGACGGGGAGGAGGCAGGCGGCGCGGCGCGCCGAGGGCGTGTCCGAAGGCAGGAAGGCGGCGGTGAGGAGCAGTGTCGTCACCGGCTCAAAGGCGCGGAGGGCGTGGGCGAGCGAGAGGTGCATTGACGCCTGGCAGGAGTTCATCGTGTAGCAGCCGGCGAGGAAGGAGGCGGAGAGCGCCGCAGTGTCGACCAGCTGCCTCCGCGACGCGAAGCCGATGCTGCCGCTGCGGCCTCCCAGCCGCAGCACCGCGGCGCCGCAGCAGGCGGAGCCGGCAAAGTGGCAGAGCGTCATCATCTCCGGCCCAGCGGCGGCGACCAGCTCGTATGCAAGGAGGCTGCTGCAGACCGAGGAACCGTACCACGTCGCGACGAGGAGCAAAGTAGCCGCCGTCGGGTCGGTGCCGCTCACCGCGCCGCCTCGCAGCAGCAAATAGGCACCTCGCAGCGGCGGCGGAGTGGCGGCGGCATCCGACAGAGCGTGGCGATGGCGCGGAGGTGTGCGAGCAGCTGCTGCGAGCGTGGCCATGGCGAAGAGAAGTAGGGTGAGGCGCCTCATGTGCACCGACGGCGCGCGCAACGCCTCCGCAGTGGACACAGGTGCGCGTCTTGTGACGACGACGACTACCGCCACCGCCGGCACCACCATCGCCACCGCCACCGCCACCGCCGCCGCCGCCACAGTCGCCGCCACCGTCCTCGCCGTCGCCGCGGCCTCCATCCCCATCGCGCAACGGTGAACACGCTCCAGGCTACACACGCCCTCTGGGTTCCGGCTCCAACCAGATAGGGGGTCTCCTGAGTCGCGCCAAAACGCCCTACCTACCTACCTATTGCGGGCGCCGACCGCCAGGCTCCGTGCCCCACCTACCTACCTATTCCCAGGCCGCGCAGCTAAGCGAATTTTCTGCCACTTGCACAAAGTGTCCCCGATACATTGTGAATATTATGAAGCGCAACAATCTGTGTCATCGCGCATAAAACGCTCACATGAGCACCCATCGCTCGCTGGCAATGGCCGATTTCCAGTGTAAATTTTTATGCTATCGCGGCTAGCTCAGCCGAGGGGTGAAGGGGTGGCCAGAAGCCCCCTACTCAGCTCTAGGAAGACCGAACTTCGCCCCAACTGCGAAACGATTGCGATTGGCGTTGGCCTGAAGGACTTGTCCCGTTGCTGAATCTCGATGCACACCTTTCGCTGCGAAATTGGGAGCTCAAACCAGGTCATGTTGCCCCATTGCGGCTTGTCGGAACACACCTTTCGGTGCGGCATTGGACGACGTGGGCGCGCCTTCTGGAGGGCGCAGGCACCACCCCTCGCGCCGGCCCGAGCCGATTCAGCAGCTCCGGCCCAACCAATCCGGCCGCCGACGGGAGGGCGAGCAAAAGGGAGAGCACGCGCATGAGCCAAAATGTCAACGGCTTGACCCCCTCGCCGACCGCCCATCCCCCCTCCCCTTCTCCAACCTCGACGAGCCGATGACCGTTGCCTCTGCCCTGCGTGCCCCCGAGCCCCCCCACCCCCCACCCCCCCACCCACACACACACACCGCCGCCGCGCGAGCGCCGCGCAGCGGCACACCTGCTCAAAAGAAAAGAAAAACCGGAAGGAGGAGACCAGCGGGGGAGACTCCCCGCCTATGCAAGCCCCAGAGAGGGGCCGCCATCGCCGAAGCTGTGCCAAAGCATAACTCCAAACCCGCGGGGGAGGAACGGGGCGAGCCCCCTCCAACCCACCCGCGCTAGGTCTCGGGTTTGACGCATGGGGTCACTCCCGCGAAACCCGTGAACTAGCCGGGGCAGTCGGAGAAGGGGCAACTCCGTGCACTGACGGTCGGCCGTCAGAAAACACGCCTCCGTGGCTCGGGTTACACCACTCCTCGCTACCCAACGCGGCCAAAGGATATCCACCTCGAGAACCTCGAGAGAACCACGGCTCGAAGGGGGCAGTTTGGAGGACTTGGAGTTTTCTCGAAATTCTCGAAATTCTCGCCTTTAGAAGCTTCGCATGCAGCTCGACGGCCCCCCCGCAGTGGCAGGTACCAGTGTGGCAGCTTGCGAGGAGCGGTGTCCGCTGCCGACGCAAGACGCCCAGAGTGCACAGCATAGCAACATGACCAAGAGTGTCGCGCCGGCAAGCATCATGACGGCGGCGAAATCCGGCAACGTGGACGTGCTGCGGGAGTGGCTGAACAACGGCGGGCAGGCGAATGCGGAGGACGTGCTGATGGTCGCCGCTGGCCACGGCCACGAGCAGGTGGTCGATCTGCTGCTTCAGCGCGGCGCCGAGATCAACGAGCAGAGTGGTGAAGGCGCCGGCACCGCGCTTATGGCCGCCGCTGGACGCGGTTGGGTTCGGGTGGTAGAGCTTTTGCTGCGGGGCGGCGCGGAACTCGACCTGCGGGCCAGCGACGGCGGCACCGCGCTGATGTGGGCGGCCTCCAACGGCCACGAGCGGGTGGTCGAGTTGCTGCAGCAGCATGGCGCGGAGGTCAACGCGCAGGCCAACGACGGCGTCACCGCACTGATGCTCGCCGCCCGCGACGGCCACGAGCCGGTGGTCGAGGTGCTGCTGCGGCACAGCGCGGAGATCAACCTGCAGGCTAGCAAAGGCTACACCGCGCTGATGTACCCAGCCATCTATGGCCATCCCGCCATCGTGCTCCGCCTGCTGCGGGCGGGCGCGGATACAAGGCTGCGTGCCGACGACGGAAAGTGCGCGCTGCAGTATGCCAAGGCGGTGGCACGCGGCGCCGGCGTGGCCGGCCACGCCGGCGCCGCGTGCGTCGAGGCCTTCCGGCAGCACATCGCGGAGGTGCATCTTGCGGAGGCAAGGGCGAGGAAGGCGGCGTGGGCTGCGGGGGCGGAGGCGAGGGAGGCGGAGAGAGCGGCGGCAGAGGCGACGGCGGCGCGGCATGCCGAGGAGTTGCTGGCGGAGGAGGAGGCGGAGAAGGCGGAGAAGGCGGGGGCACGCGCCAACGAGAGCAAGAAGGGGAAGAAGAAGAAGAAGAAGAAGGGGAAGGGCGGCGGGGGCGGCGCTGGGCCGTCGCGGGAGCCCGAGGATGAGGCAGCGCTGGCGACGGGAGAGGAGGCGGAGTTGGCGGCGGCGCTCGAGGAGAGCGCGAGGCTGGAGGAGAGGCGGGCGGCGGTGGAGCAGCCGCCAGAGCCGGAGTCGCCGCCCAGCGAGCAGGAGCCGCCCACCGACTTCATCTGCCCCATCACGACCGAGATCATGAGCGACCCGGTGATGGCGGCCGATGGGCACGCGTATGAGCGGTCGGCCATCGAGCGCTGGCTCGCGACCAAGTCGACCAGCCCTCTGACGGGCGAGGAGCTTGGCAATACAGGGCTCTTCCCCAGCCACATCCTGCGCCGTCAGATCCGAGAGTGGCAGGGGGCGCAGTGAAGCGTGCCCTGCACATATCGCCAGTCTCCCGCTCTCCTCTCTTACGCGCTGATCGGAGCGCATGGTATGCTTCTTCGGTGTTGCCCGCCTCGCTGTCGCTCCGGTAGTCACTCTCTCCCTCATGCAGTCCGCTGCGGCCTGCGCCACTGCTCAGCCATGCCGCATTGAGACAGACCAAAGATAGAAACGCTCACTCCACATGCACATGCACAGGCACGTGTGTCATGTGTGCACATTTTGGCACATTTGGGCTTCAGGCGCCGAAGGGCGAACAAGAACTATGTGAAATAGACGAGTCCGAGCAAAAAGAAGCCGACGCGTTTTATCACGCACTCGAGATCACCCTACCCCCCCCCGCGCCTCGAACCCTGACGCTACGAAAAAGCCAGCTGGCGCACGATTTCCCTCTGCGAAGCTGCGCGCTCGTGCCTGAGAGCATTGTCCTCGCGCCCACCGCATCGCTCGATGGTCGTCCTCAGCGCGGCAGACATCCGCGCGGGCATGCTCGCGGCCGGCGGCGCTCCGGTGGCGAAAGTGGTGCCGTCACAGCAGGTGCCGCCGATCTCACGTCTCAGGTAGCGCGCCAATCGAACACCTCTGCCGCTTGCGAAAAGGTGGTGGAGGTCGCGGGCGTCAAGCACACGCTCGAGGACGAGTACCAGTGGCTGCGCGGCAAGGCGTGGCCAAAGCTGGTCGAGGACGAAGACATCATCGCGCACCTCGAGGCGGAGAACGCGTACTGCAAGGACTTCCTGGCGAGCTTGGGCGGTCTGCAGGAGGCGTTCTTCCAGACGATGAAGGGGCGGATGAAGCTGACAGACCGCACCATCGAGGTGCGGCACGGCGGCTACTACTACTACTCGCGCACGGAGGAGGAGCTGCAGTACTCGATCGACTGCCGTGTGCCGCTCGCTGCATTCGACGCGCTCAAAAAGAGCGGGCCCGTGCCGGACGCCGCGTTGCGCGGCGCCGAGGAGGTCATCCTCGACCGCAACAAGCTCGCCGAAGGCAAGGCGTTCTGCAAGGCGCTCGGCACAACCGTCTCCCTCAACGGCAAGGTGATGGCGTACCGCGTGGACACGCAGGGCGACGAGAACTACTGCCTGCAGTTCGTCTCGCTCGAGAGTGGCGAGCCCCCTGCCCGACCGGCTGTCGGACCGTCGCGAGCCCGCTCTTTGCTCACTCAGTGGACTGATCGGCAGGCGACTACCTGCCCGACCAGCTGTGGAACGTCGCGAGCTACTGCTTCCACCAGCCTGCCGACGCGGCGGAGACGGGCGCGCCACCCGTCGGCGTCTTTTACTCCTTGCGCAACCGGAACCTCCGCCCAACAAAGGTCTTCTACCACCGGCTCGGAGACGCGACCGAAGGGAGCCAAGACTTTGCTCCAAACGACCGTCTGCTGCTCGAGTCGAAGAATGAGATGTTCGGTGTGTCGGTCGGCACAACCGCCGACAAGGAGTTCGTCACGGTGCGGCACAGCAGCAAGACGGAGAATGAGGTGCTTGCGATCGACGTGGCCGACGGCGAGCTGCGGCTGGTCAGCCGTGCTGCCGAGCGCGGCTCGGGGTGTGGACGGCGTCTCTTCACGGCTCTCGGCGTGAACAGGTCAACTTGCTTCCGATGGCGGACGACGTCGAGTACTCTGTCTCCAAGAGCGGGCCGCACTGGTTCATGCGCACAAAGGCGGGCTGCCAGCGGGACCACTTTCGGCTGGAGCGGGGCGAGTGGGCGGACGGCGGGAGGAGCGAGGTGCGGTGGGCGCCCCACATCGCCGAGAAGAGGAAGTATGCCTTCGAAGGCATGGGCGCGACCAAGGACTGGCTGCGCCTCTGCTGCCTCCTTCGGGAAGGGCAGCGCCTCGTCACAGCGCTCCTCCTGTGAACAGGACTTGCTGCTCCTCTCCTACCTCGACGTCGCCACCGGCGCTCCCCTCCCCGTCGAGGCAGCGAAGGAGAGCAGCCACCCGTCTTGACTCTGCTGTTGCTGGTCGGCAGGCGTCCCGTTCCTCGTCGTGCAGCGCGCGGACCATCCGGAGGCCGACCTCGACCCGGAGGCGGAGATTGCCCGAGATGGCACGAGATGGCCCGAGGTGGCCCGAGGTGGCCCGAGGTGGCCCGAGGCGGCACGAGATGGCACGAGATGGCACGAGATGGCACGAGATGGCACGAGATTGCCGACCTCGACCCGCTGGCGAGGAGCCCTAGAGGGGGGAGGGCTTGCAAGGGAGGGCTTGCAAGGGAGGGCTTGCAAGGGAGGAGAGGTGCGTCTCCCAGCTGTGCGTCCCGCCACGCTTCCCCACTTCCGCGCAGGAGCTGCACCCGCGAGCAGAGCACTGCAGGCGGGTCCGTTTCCCCGGCATCGCCGACCCCGAGGCGGCACTGCCTAGACACTTGCTAGACACCTCCTAGACACTGCCTAGACACTGCCTAGACACTGCCTAGACTTCCTAGACACGTCTCCTTCCCCGGCATCGCCGACCCCGAGGCGCCCCTCGCACGCCTCGAGATGAGTCGGCGAACCACACAATGCATCCTCTAGCCCCCTCCCCCCCCTCGCCGCCCCGAGGCGCTCTCGCACACGGCCGCCTTCTCGGGCGCGACAGACTACTCGACAAACTCGGTCGTTGTCGTGCTCGACACGCCTTCGCTGCCGACGACCTGGTACGACTGGGACTGGGAGGCGAGGGGCGAGCCCGCGTGCGACGCGCCGCGGACACGTCCAGGACACGTCCATGTCCACGTCCACGTCATGCCCGGTCAGGCGAGTGGCGAGGGCGTGCTGCCCGTCCGAAAGCAGAAGGAGGCGCCGCAACCAGCCGAGACTACAGCCGAGATTAGCCGAGATTGGCCGAGATGGGCCGAGGTCGGCCGAGACTACAGCCGAGACTACGGCCGAGATTGTCCGAGATTGTCCACAGCGAGCAGAAGGCGGTGCTGGAGCACGACTGTGTCTGGTGCCTCCCCGTCCCCTCCCCTCTCCCTGGCCCCGCCGAGTCTTCTGGCAAAGTCTTCTCTTCGCCTGCACGTGACATGAGCCTGTGCACGCTGCAGGTGCCCAACTACGACCCCTCGGAGTACCACACCGAGCGCCTCTACGCGCGCTACGCCGAGGACAAGTCGCTCGCTCTGCACGAGACGCTGCACGCGAGCGACGACCCGAAGTACGCCGACTCCGCCGTGAGCGTCCCGGTGACGGTCCTGTACAAGAAGAGCCTCTTCAAGCAGGACGGCTCCATGCCGCTGCTCCTCGAGGGGTGACGCTCGCACGGCACTCCGAGGAGCCTCACTGCTGCGAATGAGTCTCTCACTCTCAACACAAGGTACGGCTCCTACGGCATCTCCGAGGAGCCGGTGTGGAGGAACACGCACACCCTGTATGGCACAGGCCTCTGCAGCCCGAACCTTCTCCCGCCTGCCTCCGCTCAGTGCTTCCCGCGCTGCCTATAGCCGACCTCGGGTTCGTGGTCGCCACCGCCCACATCCGAGGGGGGGGCGACCTCGGAGAGCCGTGGTACCAGGCGGCTCTCTCTAGATACTTCCTGGCTCTCTCTGACACCTCCTAGACCTCGGAGAGCCGTGGTACCAGGCGGCCAAGTTCCTCTCCAAGAAGCGCACCTTTCTCGACTTCATCGCCGTGGCCGACAAGCTCGCCGACGACAAGTTCACCTCGGCCGGGAATGTGGCGATTGTCGGCGGCTCCGCCGGCGGCATGCTGGTCGGTGCTTGCCTGAACATGCGGCCGGCGCTCTTCAAAGCCATCGTGGCGCACGTGCCCTTCGTGACCGTCCTGGACACGATGCTGGACGGCGACCTGCCGCTGACGCCCGGCGAGTTCAAGGAGTGGGGCAACCCGAGGGAGGAGCACTACTTTGAGTGCGCGCCTCTCTCTAGACACTCCCTGACACGTCCAGGCACTACTTCGAGTGCGCGACTCTCTCACCACGCCGGGCAGCCGCTCTATCTCGGCTACATCTCGGCTCCATCTCGGCTCCATCTCGGCTCCATCTCGGCTACAGGTACATGCGCTCGTACTGCCCGTACGAGAATTGCGGCTTCGTCAAAGACTTCCTGCTGGCCAAGCCGGGCAGCGTCTTCCCCTCCCTCTTCGCCACCGCTGGCCTCTCGGACTACCGCGTCGGGTACTACGAGGCGGCAAAGTGGGTGGCGCGCTTGCGCGCCGGGGTCGCTGCGGCGAAGGCGGAAGCCCCGGACGGCGCTGTCAATGAGCCTCTGCTCGTCTTCGAGACAAATATGGCTGCGGGCCACGCGGGCGCGTCGGGCCGTTTCGACCGCCTGAAGGAGGTCTCGCGCGACGTGGCCTTCCTCGCGACCGAGTTCGACGTGCAGGACGTGCCGGGCAAGCTGCGGAGGACATCCGGCTGATAGCACCAACCTTTGCAACGCAGGGGCTGGCTGCGTGGGCCCTCACCCTGTCTGCACGTGAGAGGAGACCGGCGCCGGCGCCGCCGCACAGGCACTTGTGGCGCCGGCGCGAGCTTTGACACTCTGTACAGTACCGACAGGCCAGAGCGTGAAGCAAGTCAGCAGCAATCGCACGGTGAGAAACGACTGTCTCTGATTGACTGACGAGATCCAGACTCTCGACCACAGTTGTCGAGAGATTTTCGAGTCCTCACAGCTCTCTTGAGTCTTGTCTCGTGTGTATCGCGCGCCTTGCGGGGGGGGGGCGCGGAAAAGAGGAACCTCTTTAGCGCCATCGCCACGGTGCTGCAAGCAGCGCCGGGCGACGACGACTTACCGCCTCCCGGTCCCCCTCGGCACACCTCCGCTGCTTAACCCCTAAACGGCTACCGAAACGGGGTGCCCGGAAGGGCGATATCACGGCGGCCTAACTGTGCCTCCGTGCTCCTGCGCGTTCTGGGGGACAGCGGGTGCCGTTGTGAATGTAGTAGCACCGCCGCCACGTGGCATTGTTGCACGCTACGTGCGGGCCGTCGTCGCAGGCGATTCGAATCTGACTCGCCTCGGTCCTGCACTCGTGCGCCGTGCTCCAAGCATGGTGCCCCCTCAAGCGCGCGAGCGATTTGTCGTGATAGACGAGGCTGGTGCTCCGCACGCCGTGCGAGTAGTGGCTGCGGCCTAAGGGAGTGAAGGGGAGTGACAGCAGTGTGTGAGTGCCAAGCTTTGCGTGCGCTGTGTGTGTCCAACCCGACTCGGAGAAGGCCACCTCGCCCATGTGAACGAAGGCCAGGTTCTGGCCCTGCGCGACTTCCGAGAGGGAGTAGCCGGTGAAGACGTCCTCCCAGGGCAGTCCGCGTGCGGCGGACCCGATCGCAGCGTCCATCCCCGCCTGCACCACGCTGCTGTTTGCAATCTGCTCGACCAGCTCGCGCGACACAAAGTACATCGGACCCTTCGCAAAGTGCGTAGGGAACAGGTAGTCGCCGCCGTCGCCGTACCGTAGGCACCGCCGTCGCCGAACCGACCCGAATTTGTACGAAAAGCCCTTTGGACGGCCCTGCGTGCGCGGGCGGGCGGCGGTGAGGCTGTGTTGCGGCTGTGTGAGAGTGCGTGTCCGCTCCACAGTGTCAAACCGACGAGGTGTTCCAGCCAAACGTCTCCATGATGCCCCAGAGCATCCGAGGCGGCGCCGGGTGTGACGAGTCCTGCAGTCGGGCGAGCGAGCCGCGCAGATGCTCAGCTGTCCCGGGGAGATTGATCCATACGTCGTCGTCCGCCTTGCCGACCAGCGACACCTCCGGCCACGTCTGCACGGCGCACCGCATCCAATTTAGCAGCGAGTATAGCGGGCCTGTCTTGCGATCCGCCTTCGCAGGCGCGTCCACGAAGATGATGTCGCGGTGCTGCTGCGCCTCGCGGACCGTGCTATTGGCGCCTTGCCCCCGAAGCACAAAGAAGGCGGAGATCTGCCCGCTCGACGCCACGCTCGGCAGCCAAGTTTCGCGAATAATATTTCGCTTAGATTCGTGGTCCCCGTGGCTTTCGACAGAAAAGACGCCGAGGACCGCAAGCGACGGTGACGGCAGAGAGGAGTCCAGCGGCAGCGAACACACAGGCGTCATAAGCACTCCCTTGTGAAGGAAGGAGCAGGCGCCGTCGCAGCGTGTTGTTTTCTTTTTTTGCGGCTGGAGGCTTGTGTCTGTGTGTCGCTCGTGCGTGTCGTCATCATCTGTCTAGCGTCCACCCAAGCATACCGCGTTGGTGTCCAGTCCGAGCCTGGCTGTTCTTCACCTTTCTACCTACCTAACCATTCGAGGTTGAATGGTTTTTTGGTTGCCTACCTGCGTGCGTGTGTGTGTGTGTGTGTGTGTGTGTGTGTGTGTGTGTGTGTGTGTGTGTGTGTGTGTGTGTGTGTGTGTGTGCGTGCGTGCGTGCGTGCAAGAAATCACGACTCTCACAGTGATTTGGGCTCGGCAGCTTGTTAGCCCTCAGCCGAAGCTGGGGCCGGTCCCGTAGCCGAGAGAGCCCGCGCCGATGAGTTCGACGCGGTCGGGGGGGCCTGCGGAGAGGCCAGCGAGATGGCGATCGCTGTACTTCATGGGGGTCATCAAGTGACCGCGACTGACAAGCCAGAGGTCGATACTCTGGGCGACCCATCGGATGCCACGAATGCCTGAAGGAGAGGGAGGCGAGGCCAGAGGCAGGCTCAGCTGCTCTCGGGTGATCACGCTTTGGTGGCTGAAGGACCCGATGGTCCTGTCACATTCGTTCGTGGGGTCGCGGGGGTAGAAGAATTCGAGGTAGAATCGAGTCAGCACATCCTTGTAGTACAGCGGACCGCCAGGCTCGCCGGCAGCATCCGCAGGGAGGCAGCATATGAGGCACCAGTCTTCTGCGAAGAGCTCAACAGCTGCGGCCGCGATGGCAGAGTCGGCCGCGGTTCGAGCGAGCAGCTTTTGGCTGCGGGATCGAATCGCGGAAGGCTCATGCCCTCGCGGAGCGCGCGGGTGTGCGAAATGCGACAAAAGACGAAAGACGACAGGCGCCTGAGCGCTGTACGCCTGAACTTTTGTCGCCGCAATCGCCACCGCCGCCATCTTGACGAGCAGCGCGAGCGCGCTCGTCGGCGGCCAGCCGTCGCGGGCCGGGCCGAGCCCGGCCTCAACCGGCCGCGCCGCCGCAGCAGGCCCGGAGGCCCACATGGCGGCCGACCAGCTGATAAGGAGCGTTCTCTTTCTTGTGTGTGTGTGTGTGTGTGTGTGTGTGTGTGTGTGTGTGTGTGTGTGTGTGTGTGTGTGTGTGTGTGTGTGTGTGTGTGTGTGTGTGTGTGTGTGTGTGTGTGTGAGTTTTTTGTTTTTGTGTGTGTCGTCGTGGTTTCGTATCAAGAATACTCACTCACAATGCCTACCTGCGAGCGAGCGGGCTGCAGGTGGCCACAGGCTGTCCTCCTCCCATCCCTCGTTTGGTTTGCCGATTTTCTTTCTTTTTTGCAGGTGGCCAGGAGGTGAGAAGGCCGTCGCGATCGACAGGACGACTCGTACTCAAACAATACAAGCTCCGCTCTACCGACCAAAGAATCACGGCGCGGGCTCTCTCGGCTACGGGACCGGCCCCAGCTGAGGGCTGACAAGCTGCCGAGCCCAAATCACTGTGAGAGTCGTGATTTCTTGTTGGTTTTCTAAAATCTCTCCCGACCAAGCCTCTCGGAGCAAAAAAGGTGGGTGAGGCGCCATCACAGCCGCGGTGCCTCGCCGCCCTCGCAGGAGCCTGTCGAGGCCTGGGGCTCCACTCGAGGTCATGTCCTCACATAGATTCCAAGGCATTGCAAATAGGGGGGGAAGGTCCCTCGACCCCCCCGCCTGCAATACTCGCGCGACAGCACACCACTGCTCGAAACAAGACCAGCCGTGAGTGTGGGTGTCTCTACCTTGTCGGACAAGAAAGGGGTGAGGTGCCACACGAGGGGTCGCGGTGGCGTCCATCGCCAGGCTCCCTAGCTCAACCGACGACCCTCGCGCCTCGGGATCGACGGCCGATCGTCATTAGTCGCTTATAGGCGGCTCCCGCGGTGACCGAAAGTGGATGGGTTGGGAGCGAGGGGGCGGAAGTGTTGAGTGCGGAGATCGGTCAGCCGGTCTTCATCATTTGCAGCCTCCGTCAAAGGTGAACACACGTCCTTGATAAATCTCATTTCAACCGCCTGTAGTTGGTGCCTTGAGAGATATAATTCGGCGCAGGAGCCGGACTTGTGGGCCGGACCAAAACGGCGTGATTGTCGTATCGAAGCAAGGACCCAATCGTCTGCACGTGTTGATCGAGAGTCGACGCCGACGCGTTGAGCATGAATCGGTTTCGACGTCGGTGAGGCAAAGGAGGGAGAGGAGAAGGTCAACGACCCAGACCGGCCGGCCAATGTCGAGGTGGCGGCGGACAAAGTTTGGGCACACACGCCAAGGCTTTTTTGCCCTGCAAAACGCTCTCCAGCATGTCTCGGTTGTTCAGATTGCTCGTTTGCGTGAAGAATCCCTGCTTTCGCGGACGCACCAGGCCCCAGCGTGCCTGCGCGGCGCGAAGCGCTGGGCTAAAAATGATAAATTTTGATACCATTCTGCTCCAACTACAGCCACATGCGCCGCCTCGCGCCGGCGGTCCACGACAACTACTACCACCGCGTCCTGCTCGGCGAGCGCGTGCTCGGCCTGCCGCCCGGGGCCATCACCTCAGCGCACTTGGCCGAGGCCAACCAAAGCGCCCACCGCGCTTTTTAATCTGCCTACGGTAAAGCCGTATGCCAATGGCGCGCGTCAGTCCCCGGTCCTCAGCGGCTGCCCGGAGAATCCAATCAGCGCAGCGCAGCAGGCCGAGGATGAAACGATGTATTACCAAAGCTACAGTAGGAAGGGCCAGCTGCCGGGACCCTCCTCCTCGGTTTTGACCAGTCCGTTCCCTTGCTTGGTTATCGTTTTTTTCTCGCGTTCTCGCTCAAAGATTGTAGTTTGTAGATTGTTGGTGACGCCCTTCTCGAGGGATTTGGGGGATCTATCCTTATTCCTTTGGCCGCGTTGGGCGCCGCGTTGGGTAGCGAGGATTACCCCGTTTTGGGTTTTCCGGTCAAGAGACGATCAAGACCTCCCCAACGTTCGAATCAGCCAAAGACCGCGAGGCCGCGCAATACACGCGACTCTCACTCCTGGCACACGCCCCATCGTGCATCGACCACCACACCACAGCGTGCGACCGGGGGTGGCTTTGCCGACTGTTCTTCGACCATCACAACCCTGCCTCTCTACCAGAGTGAGCAGAATCCCCCCCCTCTCCCGCCTCTGCCGCGAGCCTTCTATCATGCGGCATGTCTCAGCAACTCGTTGTCGGCCTCCAGCGGGCTCGGTGTCGGCGGTCCTTGAAAGGCGAGTCACATGACACATCACTCAGCCATTGCCTCGAAGATGAGGCACACGTACGCGAGGCTGTCGTAGGCGTTCCGCAGGCCCGCCTCGAGCGGACCCTCGTCTGGCGAGGGCCCGTCGTATGTGTACGCCCCCTCGTACGACGGCTGCGCGTGGTTCTTCAGGTAATCCACGCAGTCGGAGCACCCCGCGCAGCTGCTGCCATAGCCATAGGGGGAGCACTTGTACTCGAGGGAGACGACTGAGGTACAGAAGCTGGAGCAACTTGTCGAAGGGGGGCTGGAGGGTGGAGAAGGCGACGGAGGTGGCGCGACGAGCGTGTAGAAGCCCGGGTGGTACACGCCGTCCTTGTCATAGTAGCCGCTAACATAGATCGGGCTAATCATCTGCATCGGGGCGTGCTCGATCGAAAGCTCCGTCATGACGATCGACATCTCACGGCGGAGGGAGTGGCACGCCGCGGTCGTCGAGTTCCAGGCTTGGCCGTCGAGCTGAGAGACGAGGTACTCGACCGGCTCCTCTCCGAGCCACTCGCGGAGGGTCTGGACGATGTCGCCGTTGCTCGCCCCGTCTGTCGTGCTGTTGCCAAAGACGTCGACCTCCGCCTTGTGGATCGGGCCGTCGAGTTGCCGGATCGCCTGCTTCAGGTGAGTTGAGGTAATCTTCTCCATACACACACACAATTAGGTGGTGGGGCCAGCAAGGCACAGTGCGCTAGGGTGAGCGGTGTGAGAGTGTGTGTGCCTGGAAGAAGTTTGCAACGAAGGTCGCCGGGTCGACGAAGGTGTCGTCGTACCGGAGCTTCTCGAGCAGCGGCTCGAGCTTGCTGCCGATGCGCGCAAGCTCGGCGGTGACGTCGCCGAGGTGCACCGTCATCGTGCTGCGGCAAGAGGTCAAGAGGAGGGTACCGGTGGTGAGTGGAGGAGAGAGGCGGCAGGGAGGCGCGACAGCACGCCTCGCAAGCAAGAGGGGGATCGACTTGGGCGGCCCCCAGTGGCGGACGTATTCAGCGAAGGACGAGAAGAGCATCGACGAGGAGTCGACAGCCGCAGCGAGCGTGCTGATGCTTGGCTGGATCTGGCGGGCGATCGGGACCAACTCGGAGAGTGTGACGAGTGCGTCTGCGGTCTGCGACGGCTTGATGCTGACCACGACGTGCACCGCCAGGCCCACAAGTACCGTGAGAAGCACCACGATGAGGAAGAGGAGGCACGCGATAGCACGCTGCACCGAGCCGGACGTCGAGGCGGCGGGGGCTCGGCCCGCCTTTTCTGGTGCGAGAGACATGGGTCCGTTCACGTCATGGACGCTCAGCGCAATTTCGTTGATCTTCCTGTCAACCGCCATCGGGGGTCAAACGAAAGCGAGCTCCTGGTTATCCATAACCTGGCAGAGCTATCACGGGACGCCGTGGGTTTTGTAAATCATCTGTCCTGGGGGGGCGGCCACCCATGCCGCGTTGGTGTCCAGTCCGAGCCTGACTGTTCTTCACCTTCCTACCTAACCTCTCCAAAGGTGTTTTTTAAGCGTCGATTAAGGGGTCGATCTCATCGAGAGACACTGCGTCGTGTTGATCAACAACAAGTAAGATGATGGCGCCCACGCCAATAAAAAAATCAGCACGAGGCCTCGCGTCTCGCGGGGCGTGGGGGGCGGTGTGTCTGAGGCAAGCGAGGGGCGGGGCAGGGGGAGGCTGTCCTGTTGCCGCTAGGCGGCGGGGCTGCGCGGCAAAGAAGCGAGGCGGCTGCGAGGCGGACACACATGCACGTCGGGATTAGCGTTTGTGTTCGGGATTCGGGTGTGACAAGGCTCAAGGGCCGAAGACTTACGTTAGGTAAGGGGGAGAGAGAGGCTCGACCCTCTTCCCCCACCTCCCACACCTCCCTTCCGGTTCGGGGGTCTAGACTCTACGTGGCTGGGTTCACAGCGATTGTAGGAAAATTGGGAAACCACTTGACGGTCGCGGCCTTCCGACTCGCGCCTCCGCCTCACTGGCACTATTGTAGCCCTGGCCGGTGCGCGTGCGGAGTTGAAGTTCCGGAGTAAAAATTCGAAGGCGTTCTCTCCCGGTGACCAAAAAATGTCCACCTCAGAGGCACCTCCGGAGGCAGGCCGCCGCACGCCGGCGACACAGCTCCAGCTGTCGAACTGACCCGCAGCTCCTCTCAGAGCGGGAACTGTGACGAAAGTTGACTGAGGCGGTTGTCAGGAACCATCATACGGATCACATGGTGGCTCTCTCATGACGGGAGACCGCCCGACCACTCCTGAGTGGCACTGCCACCGGTGTCGCTCGACGTCCTGTGTCGACAGCGTGCCGACAGCGACACAGACCATGTGGGACGCGTCGAGTATCGACCTCTACTGCTTACCCAGCCTTCGAGTGTATCCTGGCTGTGGTCCCACACCCACTGGTGTCCATCTCAGAGACCGCAGGAGGTCATGAGGGTCGATGGGAGTGCCAACCCCACAATGCCTAAAAACCCAGCCCAGTAGTGGAGGGCCCCAACTGTGCGGTGTGTGGAGACGCTGGCACGGCATGTACACTAATTCTCTATCTCTCTCCCAACACCCAAGCTGACCCGCACGTCGGATGCGACGGATGATGGGGCACGCATTTGTCTTAGAACATGCCACCATGCACCAACAACATACAACTACATTCTCATGGTTCGTGGTCTGGTCCTGCCCACCAGATGGCACGCAAGTGGGCGGCACATAAGGGTGACATTATAAAGACCTCTGAGCTCTCTCAGAGGCCAGGGACGCGCACCTGAGATGGTGGTCTAGTAGAGACGCAGGCATCTGAACCGAATACCCGCACGCGGGTGGAAGATCAGCGCGATGGGCGGAGAGGCAGGCATCTCTAGCCTTTACCGAGGACCGGCTGCGGGCGAGGTGAGCGACGGCGGCAAGGCGGGCATCTCCGACAGCTCCTCCCCCCGCAGCCGCGCCCCCCGCGCCACGTCCCACCCTCCCTCCTCCGACTCCTCGTCGCCGGACGACCCGCCCGCGGCCCCACCACTGCCGCGGCCTCCGCCACCGCCTCCGCCTCCCCCGCGCGCGAGGTGGCGCTCGATCCGCTCGACACTGGACGCGAGGGCCGCCTGGCGGCGCTGCATCCGCTCCATCAGCGCGACCACCTCGCGCTGCGCCGACGCCGACGAGAGGCCCGCGCCCGCGTCGCCGCCGTCGGACGAACGCCACTGCGGCGAGAGGTTGCCGGTACGGCCTCGCGGCTTGAGGTAGCGCTCGAGGCCGATGTCTGAGCTTGGGCGCTGCAGCGGCGTGGGGCGCTGCAGCGGCGAGCGGACCGCGCCGGCGGCGGGCAGGTTGGCGGCGGACTGGCTCAAGATGGAGGAGGGCGCGCGGCCACCTGTGCGGCGGCCCTGCGCGCGCGCCTGCTCTCGCCGGTGCAAGTGCAGCGAGCGGATGAAGCCGTCCATGCCGGACCTGCACACCGCTGGCGGTGTCAAGAGACGCTGTTCGCAGCGGGCGGGCGAGAGTCCCCTCCCTGCCGAGCACACCCGTCGATCGACGCCGAGACACTCGGGACGGAGTCGCGGGGCAGCGAGTCGCGAGAGCCGCCGAAGGAGGAGGGGGCGGAAGGGCGTTGGCGCGTGCGGCCCGTCGTGATCATGATCGCCCTCGCAGCGGACTTGAGCAGGCGCGACGAGCTCGGCGGCAGCTTGGGGCTGCCTCCCTCCCCCCCGCTCTTGCCGCACCGTGTCGGAGAGCCGAGGGCGGCGGAGGCGGCGGCGGAGGCGGAGGCGGAGGCGGCGAAGGCGGCGGAGGCGGCGGAGGCGGCGGAGGCGGCGGAGGCGGAGGCGGCGGCGGAGGAGTGCTCGAGCTGGAGGATGCCTTAGGGGTGAGAGGGTGAGAGGGTTTAGGGTAGGGGAGAGAGGGAGAGAGGGAGAGTGCTCGAGAGAGCCCGGTCGCAGAGCCTCTCCACAGTGTCTAGGAAGTGTCTAGGAAGTGTCTAGGAAGTGTGCAGGAAGTGCCTCGGTCGCAGAGCCTCTCCACGTCGAGGTTCGGGAAGACGGCATGGCAAAACTCGAAAAAGGTGATGTCGCCGCTCTGTCCCTCGTCGAGGAGGTGGAAGAGACGCCGCGCCTGCGAGGCAAAGAGGCCGAGATAGCCGAGATGGCGCCGAGATGTCGTCGGAGATCTCGTCGAGATCTGGAAGTGCTGGCGCCTCCGAGGCGGTGTAGTCGAGGCCGAGTTCGTCGAGCAGCCGGTGGAACTCGAGGTAGTCGAGGAAGCCGGATCGGTCGGTGTCCGCCTCTTCGAAGAGCTGCAGCATGCCGTTGAGGGAGATGTTGCGGTCGATGCAGGTGCGCTGCACCCGCAGGATGAGCTGCACCTTGGAGCGCTCCTCCCACGCCTTTGAAAAGTTGTTGCCGACGATGGCGAGAGGCATCGCCAGCAGCACCACTCCTGCCAGGATGGCCACTGATCCGACGACCTTGCCCGCGTGCCCTTCCGGGGAGACGTCTCCATACCCGACGGTGGTGAAGGTGACGAGCATGCACCTGGCATCAGTTGGACTTGGCATCAGTTGGACTTGGCATCAGTTGGACTTGGCATCAGTTGGACTTGGCATCAGCGCATGCTACCGTTGCCATCTTGTTAGTGCTATCTCGTTGTGGAAAAGGTGTGGCGAGCACGCACCAGATGGCCTCGCCGATGTCGCCGAAAGGCGAGCCTCCCGAGCGGTCGGCGCGGAGGATCACCAGCTCGATGTGCTCCACGTAGTAGAGGATGGCGCCTGATGCCGTGGTCGACATGTCAGCGCGGAATCGACACATGCTCGCGGCGGTATCGAAAAGGCGAAGCATCTCGGCTGCATCGCGCCGAAGAAGAATGCGCCGATCAGGACGAAGACGACGGGGACGGCGAGGGCGCGCGCTGAGAGGGAGAGGGCTTTGAAGAGGACGGTGGAGTCGGGGTTGTACCGCGCAATCTTGAGGATGCGAACCACGCGGAACACCTCCAGCATGTCGCCGGCGACCTGCCGGAGCAGTGTATACACAACGCGTGACCCCGATTTCTTGCATGGCGCACGTCTCATCACCTCGGGAGGGACCTGGACGGGGTTGTTTGCGCTGGCGGCTTCCGAGCCGCAGCCGTTGATGGAGCTGCCGCTCGCCTGGGAAAGTCAACTCACCCTCTTGTAAAGCTAGGAGGAGGCCCGGCCGGTTGACTAAGCTCGCCGCTCCGCGCGCCGCGTCAATCACGAGGACGGTCCAGTCGGGGACGACCTGAGTTCACGGCGGGGGGTGTGAAGAGGCGCTGTTCACGACATGAGTTGCAGGAGCGGCCCAGCTGCGACCGAGATCAAGTCCACCCACCAGTACGGCGAGGAGAACATCTCTGAGACGTTGCGCTTGGAGATCGTGACGAGGACGAGCTAAGGAAAGGCAAGGGAAGGGAAGGGACGGTAAGCTTCTCCAGAAAAACGAGGTGGTGGGGCAAGGGGGGGCGACCTCGACCGAGAAGAAGGCGGTGAGCACCCAGCCGGCGACCCACGTGGCGCAGTCGTCGGGGACGGCGCCCCACGACCCCGTCTCGACCATCATCAGCAGCGCCTGCGCCAGGATGGCGGCGGTGATGGCGAGCGAGAAGGCGCGCGCCGCGAGCGAGCGGCTCGGGTCGTCGAGGAAGAGCTGCAGGTGGAGCCGCCAGTCGCTGTGCGAAGAGGCCCACTTGAGCCACGCGTAGTGGCGGGCTCCTGGGTGGTAGTGGCCAAGGTCGATGTGCGACACCGGCCGTGAGGGCTGGTGGTGGTTGGCGTGCGTGGTGGGCGACGGGCTCCGCGCGGCGGGCGCGACTGCGGGGTGCCGGACGTGGTCCTTCACAAAGCTTACGACGGAGGTGGCGAGATTGCCTACCGCAGAGTGGTCGAAGACCGCAGTCAGCTCTTCGAACTGCTCCTCGTCGATCAGCGCGCCCGACGCCGACGCCGAGCGGCGCATGGAGTTTGGCGGCGAGGACGGCCGGTGCGGCGATGGCCCCCGGTGGGTCTCGGACGACCTCTCGGGGATGGCCGTCTCGGAGGCGGAGCGGCGCATCATCGTGGGACAAGCGCTTTGATGGTGGACTGCAACGTCGAAGGCGGAAGAAAGGTCGAGCGAAGCAATGGCGGCGGCCGCGAAGCACTAGATGGCGCCTCAGCAGGAAAAAAATTAAGCCACTAGTCGAGAGAGAATAGGGAGTCCACCGTGCTGCGAGCCTGTCGCTGTCCCTTTTGTCAGTAGCAGGAGAACTAGGAGAGCGCAACCAGTAGGAGGCCCGAGCCTGCCCCCGTGCCGCCGGGTGCAACTTTGTCCTTCCTATACGAGAGAGGAATCCCTGGGACCCTGTCGTGTGGGTGATCCCTGCCCAGCCCCCCTCCGTGTCGCGATGCGCTCCCCGCTCCCGTTCCCCTGTGTCCCTGATCGTCCTTACAAGATCCTGCTCGTGCAGGTGGGGACCCTGTCCTTCTCCCACCCCTTGTTTGGTGTGTCCGTTTTATTTATTTGTTGAATTCTATTTATTAGGCTGCCCCCAACGCCAAGGCCCCCCGGGCCGCCGCGGGTTTGGGAGTTATGCTTAGGCACAGCTTCGGCGATGGCAGCCCCTTTCTGGGGTGCTGCATAGGCGGGGAGTCTCCCCCGCTGGCGGGGAGTCTCCCCCGCTGGTCTCCTCCCTCCGATTTTTTTCTTTTTTGCGCCAGTCCCATCCAGTGTCGTGCGAGGTAGTTTTGTTGTAAAATTCTTTTCCTTTGAGAGCAGAACGCCGGGTTTGTCTATCTGCGTGTGAGGTGTGTGTCAGTGCGGGGCGGCGGAGGGCGCGGGGGCGCGCAAGGACAGAGACTCAACGGCTCGTCGGCTCGTCGAGGTTGGAGTAGGGGAGGGGGGATGGGCGGTCGGCGAGGCGGTACGTGTAAAGCCGTATGGGGTCAGTCGTTCACCTTCCTGCCTCGTCCCGGGAAGCCGGGCATCGTGACGCCGTCACCTTTACCTCCCATACGTGATTGAGGCTTCTTCCTCGGGCTTGCTCCATCTCCTCCGTCTCTTTCCCACCTAGCTCCTAGGCGGGGCGCGGTGGGTGTGCGGGCGCGGGGCGTGCGGTGCGGGGTGTGTGTTTGTGCGTGTGATCTGACTGCGGCAAGTGACCATCCGTTTGTATTATTAACAACGCGCTCAAAAAAAATCCTTCCGCAACTCTCTCCGTCCCCACAAAGGAAGTAAGAACCCTGCACAGAGATCGAGCCACGGGCGGGGACCTGTTCCTTTTTACCCATCTCACAGTAGAGGTGTCCGTTTAGCGTTTTGATTTAGTATTTATTTATTTCCCTCTATACTCCTGAGTTTACTCTAGCCTTTGAATGCCGTGGGGCTCCTGTCGTCAGACGTGGAGACGCGAGGGTTGCCCCCCCTTGCCCCACCACCTCGTGTGTGTGGAGAAGTTTACCTACCTACCTCTAGCCGTTCCACGTCTCGCACGTGCCGAACATCGTGCGCGTCACACGGGCGCCCGCCTCCCGCAGCAGTCCGGAGGCACGGGCGTGCCCGTCGCGCGGAGGAACATGGAGGGGTGGAGGCCCCGCGCGCCAGTGAAGTCCGCCCCGCCGATGTCGGCGCCGGTGAAGTCACAGCCCGTGACGTCGCTGTAGCGGAAGCTCGCGCCCTGCAGCTTGGCCTGGACAAAGGAGGTGTGCTCGAGGCTCGCCATCTCGAAGGAGGCGTTGCGCGCCTCGGCGCGGTCGAGTGTCGAGAACCCCTTCATCTCGGCGCGGTGCAGCGAGGCGTTGGTGAGGTTCGCCTAATGGTAGTAGGCAGCCTTACTTCCAAGATCTGACCCCCTCTCCACGCCCCACGAGTCAGGGTGGCCTCGTCCAGTCGCGTGTGGTCGATGGAGACGCCGTCGAGGGTGGCGAAGGAGAGGTCTGCGCTGGTGAGCACCGTGTCGGTGAGGGAGGCGGGAGGGACGCCCGTCGCGAAGAGAATGCCGCTGCCCGAGAAGGCGGCGCGGCGCAGGTCGGCGGCGTGCAGGTACACGTCATCGATGGCGACGCCGCGGAGGTCCGCGTCGACGAAGGAGGCGGCGGGGAAGCGGCCGTTGGTCATGATCGCCTCGCTCAGCTTCGCGTTGTCGAAGCGCACCGCCTCAGCCACGAGGTCGGGTGCGCCCCACTGGCCTCCGAACGTCGACCCGCTCAGGTCGGCGCCTCGGAAGTCTGCCCTCGCGAGCTTGGACTCGCCTGTTCACAGCTGCAGGTGTGAAGAGGCGCTGAGGTCGGAAGTCTGCCCTCGCGAGCTCGGCTGCGCCGAAGGAGGACTCGGCGAGGCTGGCGCCTCGGAAGGAGGAGTTGCGGAGGTCCGCCCACCCAAAGTCCGCGCCCTGCGCCCACGCCCCGTCGAAGCGCGCAGCGAGGCAGGTCGCGTGCTGGAAGAGGCACTCGCGCAGGTCGGCCTTGAGCAGCAGGGCCATCGAGAGGTCGACGCTCGAGAGGTCCGCGCGACGCAGCCTAGACACTTCCTAGACACTTCCTAGACACTTCCCAGACACCTCCTAGGAGAGGTCCGCGCGACGCAGCCTCTGGCGGGAGAGGTCGGCGCGGCGGAGGTCGCTGCAGGCGGCGAAGCTGGCCGCCGGTCGGAGGAGGAGGAGGCAGGCGTTGGGGGGAGGGGAGGGCGGCGGGGCGGGAGGCGGGCGGGGAGGGGGCGGGGCGGGGGGCGGGGGGGGCGGCGGCGGCGGCTCTGGCCGCGGCGGCGGCGGCGGAGGGGGCGGAGGCGACGGCGGGAAGCCTGGGGGCGGCGGCGCTGGCGGCTTGCCGGGGGGTGGGGCAGGGCGGGGGGGCTCGGGCTTCGGCGACGGAGGGGGAGGGGTGGCGGGGAGGGGGGAGGGGGGAGGGAGGGAGGGGGGCTGTCCCGGGAGCGGCGGGGTGGCGGGCGGCGGCGGGGGCGGCGGCGAGGAGGGGGGCGGGGGTGGGGGAGGGGTCGGGGGCGGCCTTGGCGGGAAGACCTTTAGCCAGCAGGTGTAGCCGTGGGCGGGCTGGGTGTGCGAGATTTGGTCGCGGTGGAGCTCGCAGCGGCGGTAGCCGGCGCCGACGCTCGCAAACTCGACGGCGGTGCAGCTCTCCTCCGCAGCTGCCGCGCCTCCTCGAAGGTACCGGTCCCTCCCCCCGCCACGCGGCACGAGCCCACCTGCAGATCCGCCGAGGTGCAGCCGAGGTGCAGCCGAGGTGCAGCCGAGGTGCAGCCGAGGTGCAGCCGAGGTGCAGCCGAGGTGCAGCCGAGGTGCAGCCGAGGTGCAGCCGAGGTGCAGCCGAGGTGCAGCCGAGGTGCAGCCGAGGTGCAGCCGAAGTGCAGCCGAGGTGCAGCCGAGGTGCAGCCGAGGTGCAGCCGGCGTGGCAGCCTGCCCCTCCGGTAGCATGAAGCCGGCCACCTCGGCCGCGCTCGCCTTGGCCGGAGTGGGGAGGAGCGGTGCGGTGCCGGCCCGTGGCTGCGGCAGCGGCGGTGCCAGCAGCGGCGGCAGCAGCGTTGGCGGTGGCGGCGGCGGTGCCACCGCTACCGCTACCGCTGCCATAGCGCCGCCGCCAGCAGACCCTCTCTGGCGCCGGCCGGAGCCCTTGACGAAGCAGTCGAACCTATGGGGAGGTCGCAGGGAAGGCTCGACAAAGGCAAGAGTGCCAACTCCTCTGAGTTCAAGTCGCTCCCTCCCTCGGCTGTATCTCAGCTGCATCTCGGCTGCACCTCGGCTGCATCTCGGCTGCATCTCGGCAGCCTCTCGGCTGCCTCTCGGCTGCCTCTCGGCTGTATCTCGGCTGCCTCTCGGCTGTATCTCGGCTGCGTCTCGGCTGTCTCTCAGCTGTCTCGGCTGCCTCTCGGCTGCCTCTCGGCTGCCTCTCGGCTGTCTCGGCTGTCTCGGCTGTCTCGGCTGTCTCGGCTGCGTCTCGGCTAGGTCTCACCCGGGCAGGGGAAAGGTGTGACTCACCGGCAGCCGGTGGATCTCGCAGCGCGTGTAGCCGCCGATGAGAGCGAACTCGACCGCGGTGCAGTGGTGCTCTCCCGCGCAGCGCGCCTGCGGTGGCAGAGGGAAGCGCTCTCTCCTCCCAAAGAGGTCGGCGTGTGGTATTCGGGTGTGCACATCCGATCGGCGGAAACAGTGCGCTGCTCTTTGTGTCGTCGTATGCTTCCAGTGCCGGCCTAGTCGCCGCCATGATGCACGGGCGAGGACGGTGCTGAGGGTGGTGTGGGGTGGTGTGGCCGCTCTAGAAGCAATTTACTTTGCAGTCAGCCTCAGTCTTGAGCCACGACGCCTCCTCAAACGTTCCAGAGCCACCGCCCTGCGTTCGGCATGAGCCTCGCTGCCCGTTCGGGCGGTCCCAAGTGATTGAAGGAACTAGGAGTGCGGCGCCGCTGCTTGGCGCGGGCTGCTGAGCGAGAGGTGGGTACCACGGCATTGTGTGTTTTGACCACCCCGACGACGGTGACTGCCTGTGCCCAATGCACACACAGCCTGGGTTCTGGCTCCCCGGACGATAGGGAGGGGCGCGACAGATGAGTGTCTTGTCTAGCGTCCACCCATACCGCGTTGGTGTCCCAGTCGTTGGTCGGACTGTGTTTCGCCTTCCCATCAATCAATCAATTGTGGTTCTGTGTGTCGCTCCTGTGTGACCGTCATCGCCCGTCTAGCGTCCACCCATACCGCGTTGGTGTCCCAGTCGTTGGTCGGACTGTGTTTCGCCTTCCCATCAATGTATGTTGACATTGAGGTGAGAGAGAGATTTTTAGCAATACCAAACAACTCTAACACTCACACGTAATTTGTGTTTTGAGGTGATGAGGAGTAAGCGGTGACAGTAAGGCCGCTTGCCGTGCTGACACACACCCCCACGCTGAGCTGACCTCCGTTCGGACGCCCAAACAAAGGCACGTTTGAGGGTTCCGGCTCCCATGTGGGTAGGTAGGTTACCTTCAAGTGCCACGACGTGCGGCCTAGATTTAGCACACGCGCCTCAGCTTGCATACACTCATACATTGGACTGTCATCGCCTGTGAGTGCGAGAAGGGCTAGCCGCAGGCAGCTAGCCCATGAGGAGAGCGTCCATAGACACCTCACTAGACCCCACATACGGTCTCGTCCGTGCCTCGCAGGCCGGTGAGATTGCTAGAGGTGGAGCAAGCTGCTCTAGCCTCACATGTCACTTCCTGTCGTCTGTTGTTTGAGTTGTGCCCTTGTTTGTGCCCTTGGCACCGTGGAGTGCTGGGGGGGGCGACAGGGAGGATGTGGCCCTGAGTTATGTGTACGCCGACTCAGGGTGTGTGGCAGCCAGCTGGCTGTGTGTCTTGTGAGCCTGTTTGTGTCTGTGTGTCGCTCGTGCGTGTCGTCATCATCTGTCCAGCGTCCACCCATACCGCGTTGGTGTCCAGTCCGAGCCTGGCTGTTCTTCACCTTTCTACCTATGTATGTTTGTAGTGGCGCGATTGTGCGTCAGGCGAAAGGCGAGCGCCGGCGGAAGGTGGCACGCCGAGCGTGTCAGCCAAGGGAGGCGATTGCGCGTCAGGCAAAGCTGTTGTTGGCCGACGACGTCGCCTTCGCTTCGGCTTGCGATGCCGAATCCGCTCCTGTTCGTCGGCAAGGGCGCGGCGCTGACGGCGGCGGCCCGAGCGGCTGACAAGGCGAACGAAGGCGGCGGAGCATTCCAGCGGCTGGGCGAGGGCCGCGGCGCGGCAATCCGGCTCGCGTGGCCGGCGGAGGCGCTGCACACCGTGCCGCACGAGAGGCGGGCGGCGGCGGGCGACGCGGACGACCCGTTCGCGCACGGCCGTCCGATCACCAAGAGGGAGAGGCGCGCGGCGGGCGAGCTGCGCGCCGTGCAGCACCAGGAACGTGCGGAGGCGCCCAGAGAGGCGGAGCGGGCGGCGGCAGAGGAGCGGACGGCGGAGCAGGCGGCGCTGCTGGCGCCGCTCGCGGCGACGGACACCACGGCGCGCCTGGCGAAGCGGAGGCGGAGCGCCCTCGTGGCGGCGGTGCTGCATCAACCCATTGCGGAGCCGGCGGGCCGGGCGGCTCAGATGCTCGCGCCGCTCGGCGAGCACTTGAAGAGGCAGTGCGACGAGGTGGCGAAGCGGTGGGACGACTTCCAGACGGAGATGGAGCGGCTTGACGAAGACGGCGGCGATGCGGACATGCGCTCCTACCTAAGGGCCCTGCCTGCTGGGCTGAGAAGGGCTTCATCCCTGCTGCCGAACGCGCACCCCACAGGGCCAGGGCGCTCTTTTGCTGACTGCACTCCAAGCAAGTGCTCCAGTCAGTGCATGCATGCAATGCACGCGAGAAAGAACGACGTGATGCTTGCGTCCCAGCCAGAGTGCCCTCGCGCAGAACCAACCAACGCATCCGAGAGTGGGACGACCGAGTGGGAGGAAGGTCGGACATTTTTTTCTAATATATTCTCGGACGCGTCCCCGGACGCACGTTTTGATCGATTTTGAACCGTCCACCCGTCGGCAGCCGCTCTGATACCGGTCCAACCCCTGCGCCTCCGTACACGGGGGAGAGAGTGCTGAAAGTACACGGAGAAAGGGAGAGGGGGGTGAAGTACAAAGGCTGCAACATGGCCAACCCCCTTTGCCTCACCAGCAATGTGTTCAAGGACCCGCATCTAAACTTTGCATTCGGAGGCAACGCCGATTTTCGCGGCCGCCACGGCGTGCTCTACAACTTTCTGTCTGCGCCGGGCCTTTCAGTCAACATCAAGACGGAGGAAGCGATCTTCAAAATTCACGACGGCGCGCTCACGGTGAACGGATCATTTTTGACAGAGGCGCACGTGGTCGCGCGAGTCGGTGCAGTGGGCGGGCATGCCGGGCACAAGGCGGTCGCCTCGTTCTGGTCGACCGAGCTGAACGAGCACAACTGGGGCTTTCAGGTGGTGAACGGAAGCTGCGGCGGTCGCCCCTTCAAATTCGGTAAACACGGGGGGAAGAAGTGCTTCGAGCTCACCATGGCAATGGAGCACTCTTCGGCCTCCTTCGCCCTGCCGGATTGGACCGTGACTGTCCACGGAATGCGCTCTGTTCCAAACGACCTGGACTGGGTCGCGGGGCCCCGCCATCGGCTGGACATCAGCTTCGCCAGCCGCGGCTCGCTCGCCCGCTCCAAGCCACACGGACTTATAGGCCAGTCGTTTGCCACCCCGGGCCTGGTTAGGAACGGCAAGGTCGACGAGTACCCTTGGGAGGGTTCGTTCACCACGAGCGCAATGGCCGAGGGCGCCATCGAGGGAGCGGCGTCGCAGTACGAGGTGGCCTCGCCTTTCGCGACATCCTTCGCTTTTGGGCGCTTCGACGCGGCAGCTGTTAACGTCGATCCCTCTCCGAAGCACGAGGCCTCGGGCGTCATCGACGCCTCCTCCGTCGAGCGCGTCTCAGTGCCGGCGCTAGCCGCAGAGCGGCGCCGGCTCTCCGAGGCTCCGTGCCCGCCACCGTCACCAGCGGCGGTCTCGACCTCCCCTCCACCAGTGGCGGTCGCCGCCTCCCCCCCGCCAGTGGCAGTCGCCGCCTCCCCTCCACCAGTGGCGGTCGCCGCCTCCCCCCCGCCAGTGGCAGTCGCCGCCTCCCCTCCACCAGTGGCGGTCGCCGCCTCCCCCCCGCCAGTGGCAGTCGCCGCCTCCCCTCCACCGGTGGCGGTTGCCGCCTCCCCTCCACCAGTGACGGTTGCCGCCTCCCCTCCACCGGTGGCGGTTGCCGCCTCCCCTCCACCAGTGACGGTAGCCGCCTCCCCGCCGCCAGTGGCGGTCGCCGCCTCCCCCCCGCCAGTGGCGGTCGCCGCCTCCCCGCCGCCAGTGACAGTCGCCGCCTCCCCCCCGCCAGTGGCGGTCGCCGCCTCCCCGCCGCCAGTGACAGTCGCCGCCTCCCCCCCGTCCCCTGAGCCATCGCCTCCTCCCCCACCATTGCCCGGTCCTCCTGAGCCGTCGCCCCCGCCCCCGCCGCCCTCTCCGTTTCCGTCCCCTGAGCCATCCCCTCCCCCCCCACCGTTGCCCAGTCCACCTGAGCCGTCGCCCCCGCCACCTGCGGAGGCGTGCGACCCACTCGGCCGTTGCCGCGGCAACGACAGCCGGTGCGGCCACTTCAGCGGTGGCAATCCCACGAGCAACGTCAATTTTGGGTGTGGCTCTCAGCAGGCGTGCCAGGCTGTTTCGGCTGGCTGCTCCAGCAGCCTCTCGTGCACCGAGGACCAGTGCCTCGGCTGCAAGGACGGTTGCGACTGCCGCTGGTCCGCCACCGTGCCCGAGGAGTGTGCCGACACTGCCACATCCCCGCTGGGTGTGTGCTCCGGCAACGATTCCCGCTGCGGGCACTTCAACAATGGCAACCCGACCAGCAATGTCAACAACGCGCCTGGCTGCCCCGACGCGAGCTCGTGCACCGAGGCCTCGTGCCTCGGCTGCGTCGATGGCTGCGACTGCCGCTGGAGGGAGTCTCGCACCGCCACCGTCTCGGCACCACCCCCGCCGCCGCCCCCCGTGCGCGCCACAAAGATTTATTGTCAGAACAGCAACGAGGTCTGCGACGCGGATTGGTGGTTCGAGCCGTCGTTCAACAACAGGGTTATGGACGGCTCCGCGGGCAAAGAGATGTGGTGCCAGGGGTCGAACGCGATTTGCGCCATCATGGACGCTGAGAAGGTGACGGCGGCGTAATCCGGCAACAAGATTATACATCCGTTGACACACGGCACTTCCCTGCGCCTCCGCCCCAAGCTTCTCGTGAGCCTCTCTCCCCCGTGAGCAGGTCATCTGCAGTGGGTCAAAGGCCCAGTGCTACTACAAGCCAGGAGAGGCCTTCCGCTGCGTGGGCAACGGCTGCCCCACCTGCCTCGGCGCGGGGGCCCAGTGCATCGAGGGCAGCGCCGTCGGCGATTGGTCGCACATCCAGATGAACAGCGCGATTGGCGCGACGATGACCTTCGACGGATCGGGCAGCTACACCCAGATCAAGTGCACCGGCGTCTCCTCAAAGTGTAACTGCGGCGCTGCCGAGAAGTGCGAGTGCCCGGGGACGGCGAGCCGGTGCTACACCACCGCAGCGACGGGTGAGTGCTCGGCGACCGGGGCCGGCGCCCGCTGCGAGGCAGCCTGATATTCTCACTGAGGGACATCGGTTGAAGACACCCCTATTGGGCCGACGGCACCGTGAGCGTCCCTGACTACGCGCTGGATTACACAGCGCGCGGAGCGCGTGGCTAGACATTAGCAGACAGCGCGCGGAGCGCGCCAGTTGGACGCACTGGCCACTCTATAGAGATTTTTAGCAACACCTTAAAGAGAGGTTCAGGTGGTTTTAAGATCCGTTAGCGGGAGATCAATACCGAACAAATCTAACACTCACACGCACATCATTTGATCACTGCAGAACGCTTGGGAGAATTCTTTTTAGTTTCCGGGAACTTCGACGTATGCTTCGCGCCCGCTCGCTCAGGCTGTGTCGGCCGCCGCTGGCGGCCTTTCGGCTGCTGAGCAGCGCCGCCGGGCCGAGTGCGCCCTCGCCCAGCGCGAGCGCCGCGCGCCGAGCCATGCGAAGCCCGGTCACGTGGCTCTCGGCGGCGGCGACGCTTGGCGTGCTGTATGCCGGCTACGAGTGGCAGTACCAGCGGCAGCTTCATCGGCAGCGGGCGGCGGGGCGGCCCGACCTGGGCGGGCCGTGGTCGCTGGTCGGCGTCGACGGCCAGCGCGTCACCTCGGAGCAGCTGCAGGGGCAGTGGGTGCTGCTGTACTTTGGCTTCACAAAGTGCCCCGACATCTGCCCGCAGGAGATGGACAAGCTGACGGCGGTGCTGCGGAGCCTGGACGGGAAGGGGCAGCGGGTGCTGCCCGTCTTCATCACCATCGACCCCGCCCGCGACGACGCTCCCCGACTCAAGGCCAGACTCCTCCACGCCCTCCTCTGTTGCCTCCCGCCTGCCTTCCTCCGCCTCCCTCTCCGCCTGCCTCCCTCCCTGCCCTCCTCGCGCCGCTCCTCCTCGCCTCTCCCCTCCACACACCCCTCGCCTCTCCGCCCCGCCGCACAGGCCTACTTTGGCGAGGGAGAGTTCCACGAACGGTTCCTCCCGCTGACGGGCTCGTTCGAGGAGGCGCCGAGACACTTCCGAGACACTTCCGAGACACTTCCGCCC